CCAGTACAAAAGTTAGAATAAGGGTACCATTTTTTCTGTAGTCTAATTTTAGCAGGGGAACCCTCCACAAAAGAGTTGGTAAAAGGGCACTACTAGGGGACTCCCATTATTGGTAGATCCTAAGAGCAACTTTGGCAGAAGGGCTTTCTCAGGCGCGTTTGCACCTGTCAGGATGACCAAACATGGTTGAAATCTAAATCCGCTCTTAGACGCCGCCTGAGCAGGCCTGGAATGATTCGATTCTCATTGTTACCCATGGTTTCCAAGTGGCTTCCAATTGGTGCAGGATTTCGTCCATCCACAGTATGGACCAAACAGGTCAAAAGGTCGATTGGCAAGCAGCCTTGATAGCACCAAACAAGACGGCCAAACCTTTGTTTCCATTGATCTGAGCAAGCAGCCACGAACGCCGTCCCAGCAAAGACAACAACAAAGGAATTCATGCCTGGTGAAAAAGCTATGTTAAGTTGATCCACTGGGGTTCATTGTCCGTACCGAGATGGTTCATAAAGGTTTAAATGGGTCTGTCATGTTTTGGAGGGTACACTTTTTTGGGTTGGTTTAACGGGGATCAAAAGGAAACTAGTCCAAACTATAAGCCTTAGGAAACCTGGCCCATTTTGTCAACTGGCATATGGAGGCGTTGAGCACTCGCTCGGCTATGAATTTGATGTTCCTCCCTCGGTGGACATATGCAAATCTTATTTTGTGTCCAGAAATCAAAAATATGGGATCTTCAAGTAAACATAACTCGAGTCACTTGTAGAATATATATGTCTAAGGTACCTTCCCCATTCTTTCCAGCAATCCTTCTTTGCAGGAAACCATCGAAAAACTGAGCGAAACAGCCTGTTTTGGAAAAAGAACGATGTTTGAAAATAATGGTTGGAATCAACCCCTACACGGTAAAAAACAAGATGTATCCTAAGTCTACCCCAAGCAAAAATGGTACACCTACCCCAAAATGGTAACCTTGGTTTTGACCCACAGCTAGTTTGGCCTGGTTCCATGGACACCGAATTCAGCGGCGCCCGTAAACCGCGCGGCTCGGCCACATCAAATAAGTTATCGTCCTCCTCGAAGGAGATTCGCCTTAACCTCTCGCCGGTCGCCAGTGCCACATGCGAAGGCTCTTTGAACCAGTGGTTCGCACTCCGGCAATCCAGGATCAACCGTAGTTTGTTCTGCTTCTTCTTGACGAAGAAGACCCCCATTTTCTCGATATAAGACGGCCCAGAAACTCCAGGTAAGACCTTCTCACCAGCTTCGCATCAGTGTAGGCCCGCTGAGGGCCCTCAGTCTCTATCTTCTGCAAAGCTTCATTCGGTGACACAAGCTGCTAAGCTATGAAGCGATTTCCAAAACCAACTGACTCGTGGTTCTGCCGGAAAACAAGGTGCACTTCTGTTGCTGAATAGTTGATGAATTGGGCTCCAAATAGGGGTTCTGGACAAATTCAATCGCTATCCATCCGTTCTTGGCTTCCCATTGAGTCGAGACAAACTATGGTGCTATATCTAGCACCCATTTAAGTTGAAGGGAGCCCAAGCAGTTAGATTGTATATATACAGATATATTAAAGAAGAAGAATCCACTCCAAACAAACCCTTCCCTTCCTCCCACCTGGCACCTGTGGGGAGGTGACCGAGTCCCTGTTAGGTGCCACGGCGTTGGGGGGAAACGTATAGCCTGGGTCTGTCCTAAGCCTTTCACCCTTCCGGAGTGCCAACTCCGGAGCCACTCCTTGCTCGGTTGCGAAATCTGCGAAGCCCCGCTAAAAGTGACTCACTTTTAGTCGTTTAATACGGAACACCCATGAGTTGGCAAAAGTTAAAGTCCTAACAGCCCTTGGCAAAATGCCCACAAAGTTTGGCGGTCGACCCCAACCGAAAACAAGACAGAGGTCTGGCAGGCGAACCCAACTCACGCGAATGATTCGCCCCAGTTTGGTAAACGCGCGACACGGCGAAGAATGTGCGGAACTCTGAAGTCCCACGTCCGTGGAGTTGGCAACTGGTTGTAAGTGGGTTAGATTGGCCACTTGCCAACTTGGCCCAACGCCCAAGTATGGCTTGTCTTAAAATAGGGATCGACCCCGAAACGGTGGTTGTTCTCATAGTGTCCCTCTTAACCCACTCAAGGCACGCACACACACACACACACACTCAGTTGCTTTCTGCTCCCCTGCTAAAACTTTGACGTTTAGTGGTTTCATGGAAACCCATTAATGTTGACCCAGGATTAATAAACCCGTCCCACTATTAGGGGGGTGGTCCCTCCAAAAGTGGTCTGAATCCAACCACTAAAAGGAATTGGACACCCCCCGATCAAACTCAACCGGGGGTTCTGCTTAATCCGGGGTTGCCATTAGTTATTTGGCTGTGGCTCAAAAAACCAGTCCCAAAATGGAACCCTGGTAAGTGGAAACATGGACCAAGACCTGCGGTTTGCCCCTCCGATCGTTTAATTTTGAGCCACACCCATTAGTTGGCCAACAGTTAAAGTGCTAACATCCAAGCAAAATGCACCAAAGAAATGAAGCCAATACCGAAAAAATATTAACAAAAAGAAGCCCAAGCAGGTGTCACACATTCAAGTGGAGATAATGGAGGACATGCGTTGGCCAAAAGTTAGAGTCCTCACGTCCCGACAAAAATCGTTGGCCACTTTTTTGCCCAGCGGCTCATCCACGACGCGTTGCCATTCTCGGAGCGAGCGCGCCTCGGACCGTGCTTTCGATCACGCCGGACATGAAAAAGGCAAACCATGGAAAACCACAAGGAAGCCCATGGAAAGCCTGGAAAAAGGTCAAGGGATTCGGTCCACCTCGTATGGGCTTGAACAAAACTGACCCTTTCTTCTTGCAACTCCCAACAAATGAACAGAAACAAGACACACGAAAAACATCTAAACAACAAAAGGTTCGACTTGTCGAACAAACTGATTTAGGAGATCCTGAAGGAAATCAAACCATTGGGCTTGGATAGGTATCTGACTAACTTCCGGTAGACTTTGTTGTATAAAAAAAGGAGATACCGAGCTTATACATATGCATATATGATGTATATACATATAGACACATAGTCATGGCAGACAAGGGGTATTACTATGCCTTGCAATCTTCTAATATTGATTGTCCACAGCCCGGGCAGAAGCCAATCCCCAGACGGGAAGTCGGACGCGTAGTGTGCATGCACCTCATATTGCACTGGGGGTTGGTCGAGGGAAATGCAAGCCAGGGCACCTCATGCGACTCAAGAATGCTCATCTTAGATCATCTTGTCTCCAACAGGCTGATTTAAGGGACATGACCCCCAGATTCTGAATATGACAGAAACAACCAAAATCCTACACCCGGATATCATTCGCCCTCGATTCCCCATGATAAACATCCCAAATCCGGTGCAAGCAAAGCAGCACCCACGCCGACGTGCCGAAGAATTCCGTTGTGACCATAGGGTATGAGCGGTGGACTCCGGACACTTGGGGGGGGGGGAATGCCAGTTCCGCTCGAAATTCGACGTTTCTTGGGATGGCACCAAGCAGATATTTGTGTACTTGGAGTCTCCTGGACCCTTTAAAAATAGGAGTCCATGACCCCACTAGTTCATGGTAATGACACCCATAGGTGTTCTTTTAGGGGAAATAGATGGATTTCCCTGGTAGATGATTAAACCACCAGGTACACCAGTGCCATCTATTTTTCCACCAAAACAACCAAAAAGGACACCTATGATGACACCATTTTTAACGGGTCCTTAGGGAGACTCCAGGTATTCCATGCGAGTTGTCTTCAATGCTGAGGCAAAAGGCCAAAAGGTGTGATTAATTTCTCGCTTGTCGTTGGGCCTGGAAATCCAAGGTCAACCTTTCGGAAACTAGACTCATACACCAAAAGGCGAAAAGCAAAAGGTGATTCCTCGGCTCTCATCAGACCCCTGCTAAAAGTTTATACTCCCAAAAAGTGTCATAGGACTTGTGGGCCTGGAAACTCGGTCACTGAGACGCACATGACATTGGACCTTGCAGCACCAACCTCCACTATTGCAAGATGAGATGGGAAAATTGTGCGGTACCGTTTTCCATCAAAACTGAAGAACATGTGGCAACATGAGTTGGGACTTCAGCGCGGAGCATGCATTGCCATTGGCGTTCCCTGAAATCAACCCCAGAAGATCTGGGGTGTCAATTCTTGGCTCCCAATTCATGGGCTCGGGGCTTTGTGGGCGCCACGAGGATCCGACAAGGACACCGGTGACGGTCAATATAAAACTCCCAGGTCATTTCCAAGGAGTATACATTTTAGGTGGGATAAATGGGAAACCCCCACTAAACCCAAAAAAAACTTAAAGCCCAAGTGGACGGCTGGGAACCGCCAAGATTTCAGCTCGATTCGCTTGAGGCATTGAATTTCTGCCGAGTCGCTGTCAAGAAATGCTTCCGCTGCTCTGCTGAGAGCGCCTCAAGTGCACGCCACATATCGTCATCTCCAAATGGTTTGGGCCCTCCAAAATGAGTCGTTTCTGGGCTGCCCTCAGATCCCCCGCTCAAAGTTTAACTTTTAGTGGGTTTAACGGAAACTACCACTAAACACTAAAAAGCTAACAGGCTAAGGGGATGGCTGGGAACCACCAAGGTTTCCTTTGGTTTCCCGCATGCAAAAGTTACCCCCCCAAACGAACACACACCTAATGAGACCACCAAGTCCAAATGTGATTCTCAAAACCACAAGTCAATGAGATATTGGTATGTGTTGAAAGGGTATGTGTTAAAATAGGGGACACCAAAATTGTGGTATTGCGGCTGAATTCCCTTCAAACCCCAAAACGGCCTCCCCCCCGAAAGCGAGTCTCAAATGAGAGTACCCTTTTTGGAGCCCAGTGCTTCCATTTACCACTAGAGCAGGCAACCAATTGATGGTATCGTTTGGGGGTGATTCTAACTTGCTGCGATAGGTAGGGAATGACCGAGTCCTGGTGTTGGGAATGAACCGTTTCGGGATTGCCTTAAAGGGCACCATCTTGGGGATGGCTTCTCTTGGGGTCATTCCATTGCTGATTCCCTGATGAGCACCAGCAAGTTAAAGGGGAACAAACATCTGCCTATCGCACCAGCCGTCTAGTTCCCCCCTTCCCAAACAAAACACTTCCATTTGGTTAAGACCCCGGAAAAAATACAGATATAATTTCCAGTAGTGCTAAATTCCTTTTAAACCCAACCAGGGAAAATAAAACAACTATTCCTTTCAGCCAATGGAATTCAGCCAATGGAAGGAGAAACAAAAACCTGCTGGTTTTTTCCAGTTGGTTTCCCTTTCAACCTCCCAAGCCCCCAAGATAGCTTCAGGGGGAAACCGAGTCCACCGAAGACCGAAGCCATCCGTCCGCCTCATGTGCGCCCAGGATCTGGGCGGAAAGGGCACAGTCGCCTCGGCCACCTCGGGGGAACCGGCGGAACAGGAAGAACCGGAGCCGGCTGAAGGGGGAGCCAATCATAGGTTTTACTGTTCGGGAAAATCAGGTAAACCAGGAATCGCCATCTATGTTTCAACGAAATCACCCAAAAAGGACACGTATGGAGCCAATTCCTCACTTGGCTAAAGCACCCATGGGGTGGGGTGGGGCAAAGCTTTTGGCGCCAAGACCACAAGTGGACCAAGAAGGGAGAACAAAAAGGTCAGAAGGTCGGCTTTGAACAACTAAGACTTGGAGGGACCTGGGGGCAGGGCTCCTTCTTCGTTCATTGCCTCCCCACGACTGAAACCCAAGAATTATCTTAGGGAAGCCTAAGCTGAATCTCATGATGGGTGTTTGCTGATGAAGGCAAGCCGCCGCAAATGGGTGACCTACATGTGGTTTCTGTTTGAGCCATCTTTGTTGAGACTCAATGTCAGTGCATCGCGATGGTGCAAACAGCCAACGGTCCGCTTCAAAAGGGAAGAGCCCATGTAAGCTGGACAACCTCCGTTTGCTGAACTGCCTGGAATAATAACATAGTTCCACTAGTGACAGATTCCTTTTTAAACCAACAGGATAAAAAAAAAAAAAAAAAAAAAAAAAAAAAACACCTAAAATCACATCATCGTAAGCAAATGGAAGTTCATGCTTTTCGGGCAGGTGGGGAACGGCCCATAGGCAGAATCCCTTAAGCCTTCAAACAAATCCCCTGACACTCATTGGAGAAATCGAGGGTGGGTGGCCGTGACTCTTGTGCGGTCCGCATGAGGTGAGCACATGAGCGGACAAAATGACGTTCGCAAGGGAAAGAGGGACACTGGGGTGGAGCTTGAAGCCTCAGATGCCCCGCTAAAAGTGACTGACTTTTAGTGGGTTAGATGGAAATCTCCACTAAACGCTAAAAGGCTAAAAAGTTAAGGAACCGGATGGCTGGGAACCACTAAGTAAACTATGTCTCAAAGCAAAATGAGCCTGAAAACGAAGTGGGGGCTGCGGCAAAGGTTTGGCTACAGCCTTCGCCTTTTGGGCAACCTTCACATGTCTGCACCTCACCCCACCTGTTCAAGCAAGCTTTCACCATGTTGCAGGTCTCAGCCATAAGCAACCGAATAACTTTTGGGTCTGCGTCAAAATGGGAGGCACCCCCCCGAAACTAGGTGTTCCTGGGCCCCGAGCCTCCCAAAAGCTTGCCACAAGAGTGGAAGCACCTGGAAACCAAGGTCCTTCCCTAAAATCGCAAGGGTAAACCATGCTTACCCCTTAAAACTCCCTGCGCCCTGGGGAAGTTCTCATCTTTTACAGACAAAGTTGCCCATGTTACCCAAAAAGTTGAGAACAGTTTTGTGCTTTTAAGAGGTAAGCCATGGGACTTTTACCCATCTCAACTGCCTACCCCAGTTGTGGAAGGTAACCCTGCGGCTTTGCGGGGCACAGAGAGGTCAGTTCCCACCACTAAAACAAAGGGAATTCATAGTACCACCATGATCTACCCAAGCAGTTTCATCCTCCAAACCGGGCTCTTGCAAGAGCCCCTGCCATTCGTTTCATGGGGGCAGGGCTTTGCATCCTTTTGCATCCTTTGGTGTGTTGTTCATGTTGCTTACCCAGGAGTAATCACAGCCAACTCCGGAGATCCAACATGTCCTTGTTTCTTGTCATGCCACACGACCTTTGTCAGCTTCAGCCTCAGCCACACGTCATCAAGCCTGGACTCGCAAACTTCGCAACAGGCCAAGGGCCCTGGCCCTACATCTGATAAACCAATCCATGGCCCTGGCCTACTCAGGGATCCGGATGCATTCTACGCCTGAACATTGCCTTGTAAATGGTGGTTCCTTTATTTGGTGTGGAAAAAGACATGTTTCAACTGGGCAAAATGTATCTTTTACGGAGCCCTGCTACTCAGGACAAACCGCGAAAAACACAAGTTCGTTCCCCCCAGTATGCTCCCCAGAAAAGGTCCTGCAGATTTGAGAGGTTCAGAATAAGTTGGCATCAACCTGTTTGTTCCTGTTTAAATTTTACTAGGCGAATTCCCCTTCCCCAAAGAGAGTGGGTAATTAAAAGGGGCACTGGACAGACCTAGTCATGTTCCTTCCCCAGTACTCATAACCTCCGGAGCTTCGTCTCCGTGGGGGTTGAAGCAAGGAAGCCTCGGGCGCTCGGCGCTCCCCGGCCTCCGAATCTCTGTTGCGCAATGCGCCACCGCTGCAGCTTCCGCAGCCCCAGGTGGAAGCTGGGAGAAGAGAAGCAGCGGACGGAAGGGGAGTGGGAGGGGGGGGGATCAGGGTGGAAGGGGAGCAAAAATTCTAAATCTTTGCAGCTAAGTGGGGATTTTCCACTAAACCACAATGGAAAACAAATTGTAAAATGTGTCCCAACAACAACCATGGTGTGTTTTTTGAGGGTACCGTTTGGGATTGGTGTAAAGAAAACCAAAAAGGAGAACTAGCCTCTCTCCCACGTTGCCATGGCACCCACAAAGGGTCCCTTCAAGAGGAAAACACAAGTTCTATGTTAGTGGCAGGGAGGTTACAAGTTTCGGGACGTCCCTCCATGTTGAAATCCACAGACTTCTTCCCGTAGGTGCTAACAAGGGGCCCCTCACTTCCGATCGAGATGGGCCAAACAACAGTAAGCAAACTTGTTTGCCACACAGTAGTCCATGAATCCATGAACTCAGGAAGTGAGACGCGAAACGGGGGACAACAGTTGGTTGGGATTCATGTCCACCAACCACTTAGGTGGCTCCCTTAAAGCTCATAGCTATATGGGCATGAATTGGTGGATATCATTTGGGGTTTTATGTCCACCAACCAGTTTTTTTAGGGGTTCCCTTAAAGCTCATGTTCCTTTAAGCGACAAACCCGAAGAGCTGTTCCCACGCCAGTTCTTTCTGCTGCCCTGGCAAAGCTCCAGGCAGTGACGCGATCGAGGAATTTGGATCAGCAAAGGCTTTGCTCCCTTCAGATCCTTTAACCACCGGTTTCGAAGAGTTTAGTGTGGTTCCTTTAACCGTCAACTGTGCCTTGGGTCAAGTCTATGTGGTTTAGGGTTTAGGGTTTGGGGTTTAAGGGTTTAGCTTTGGAACTTGAAGATTGAAGAACCAGTTCACTCTGCGGATCAGTTCTATCTGGTTCCACCAGCCTTGAAGAACCCCACACAAAATCAAAGAAACCATGGAGCAGAAATCCAAGAAACTGAAACACAATCGAAGAAAATGGTTGGGTGTTCCGCATTTTCTTCTGGAAGCCAGACTTGGGTGTTCGATTCGCCAAGGTAGTTAGCGGTTTATCGCCTTGATTTTCAGGAAACCGATCTAAGTGTGTTATAAGCCAGGTTGCTAGCCGCGTGGGTCTGGCTTTTGTTCCCCGTTTTGGGTGGCTTGCAACGGGACACCAAAAGGATAACCAGAATGTTGAGGGTCCCCTAAAATAGAAACACCCATCTACTAACCTGCTCTGTCCTCAAATGCCCCGGCTAAGAGTTGGACTTGTGGCTTGCTGGAAACTACCACCAACCAACGAAACACAACCAATGAAACAACTAAGAACCATTCATAAGCCACATACCTGGAGTCTCCATGACCCTTTGAGAATGGGGTCATTACCCTAAATGTGGTCATGGACCTATTTTTAAAAAGGGTCCTTAGGGAGACTCCGGGTACAAACCACCAGAACCAACTTGAAAATCGAATCTTCACGCCCGGCCGACGCGCTTCGAAGCTTCCGGCCGGGTGTCTTCCGGGCCGGGCGCCTCTGGCGTGTGGAGTGCCGTAGCAGCATGCCGCTCCACCACCCGTGCAGAGCACTGGCAAGCAAGCCCCGCGCCTCACCGATTTGATCGAACCGGGAAAATCCGTCTTCCCTTTTGGACGTTTGGGTTGGTTTGGAGGTTGTGGAGGTTAGGTGGTTCCCAGCTACCCTCTACAAGAGCCAGTCGAATGGGTCCTGGGTACTTTGAAAGAGCCCCGCACATACTTCCCCTGTAGTTGTTGGATGTTGGTGCGCGTTGGATACCTATTGTAGCTGTAATTGGATACACCTTGGTTGCCTATTGTACCGGTAATTGGAAGCACTGGGTCTTACACTTGGATGCAAGTAGACGGCACCAAGTCCTGCTGTTTGGTGCTGTCATGTTTTTGCTTACGCAAAGAAAATTGCGCCATCTCGCATCACCGAATTGTAGCACAACTTGGACCCAATATGACCCAACACGAGAAAACTCACCATGCCATGCTTTTTTACACACCAGACTGCAAAAAAAAACATTAGAGACCCTGAGCTTTTGTCTTTAAATGGGGAACCGCGCCGAACGGATAGTTTCCTTAGTTTCCCTTTGCAACAACACTCTCTTTCCGACGGGTCGCTTGCAAGACGAGGTGACCTGACGGAGTGAAGCGGACGTTCAACCCACTCAACTCTAGACAACGGTTTGGGAATCTATCTAGAAAATGGGCTTGGGAATTTAAAGGAGTACGTACTAAAAGAGTACTAAAGGAATCTATACTGGGGGAAGAACATTGTTCAAGTGAAATTCAGAAAAAGACCGCATCCAAACCGTTATCCAGATCAATGATTCGATTACAACTGTGGCTATGAGGAGGCTAACCCCGTGCACCCCAGCTGCACCCATGGTGACAGCCTACTTGACCAAGTAGAAACCCCACACGCCCCCCGCCTGGGAGTTTGGCCAAGTCTGCAAGTTGTTGGTTACCCAGGTCATAAGCCATGCATAACTCCTAGGTCCTCCAGTAGAGAGGTTAGAATAAGGGTACCAACTTTTGTCTGTCTATTTTAGTAGGAGAACCCTCCCCCAAAAAAGGGTAACAGGGCACTACGGGGGACCTAGCCCTTAAGTGGAGCGAACCCTGTCGTTAGCGATTTGTAACCCACACGGTCGATTCAGTTACGGCCACAAACAAACAATCCCAGTGGATCCCAGTTGCTGCTCGTTTACTATTGTTTGTTGACATATTTGATTGATTCACGTATGTGTGTGTGTGTTTATGTGGGTGTGGGTCAAAATGAAACCACCAGGAGACCGCAGGTTTTAGTCCTTGGTTTTTCCCCCGTTCTTTTTCCGCAATTCTTCCGCTTCTTGTACCACGCCGTCACCGCCCAAAAAACCTCAATTTGCCGTTTGCCGAGAAGTCCCCTGGATTTGTATTTATTTTAAATATCTATATATATATATATATATTTCCAGTAATGAAATTGATTCCCTGTAAACCCAACGGGGGAAAATAAAAGAATATTCTTAACCAAATAAATGGAAGGTACCCTCCCTCCAATCATGGAAGCGCATAGAGAGGTTCCCTGCAAGGAAAGTAGTTGTCCAATTCCTCTTGTTACCTTCTATGATTGTTGGAGGGAGGGTGCTCATAGATCTTCTTAAGCAAATGTATTTCCAGTAGTGAAATCGAATCCCTTTAAAACCAACAGAGGAAAAAATAACTTGTTAAGCAAATGGAAGTTTGGAGGGTGAAGGTTACGTGGTTCCCAGCTACCCTCTACAAGAGCCAGTCGAATGGGTCCTACTTTGAAAGAGCTGGTCCGCACATAATTCCTTACAAGAAAATGAAAAGACTCTTCTTAACCTTATGAAAGTGAATGACATCTTCACCAAATGAAAGTTTAACACAATCTTTACCAAATCTTAAATAACTTTAGCCAAATCTTCTTAACCAACATATTCCTAACTATTCTTAACCAACTACTCTAACCATAATATCAAAGTTTAACCAAACCTTAAATCATCTTAACCAACATCTTCTTAAGCAAATGGAAGACAGCAGCGCCGCAAACGACGCCGTAAACGTCGGGTTCGGCTCGCCTGGTCCCCTGCCAGCCGCGCCGCGGCGCGCTGGTAGGCGCCACAGCCGCTGCGGCGCCGGCGCAGCAAATGGGTCGCCCAGGCCTCGGCGAAAGGGTGGGGGACCTAGGCACCGACTGGTAGGGTTTTCAAGGGTGGAAACCTAGGCGAAAGGGTACCAGGGGTACTACTAATGGTACTACTGTAGGTTTCCATCCGAGAAAAACCAGGGAAAATAACACATGCTCCATTTGCTGAGAAGTGTTCTGGAAAAAGTAGAAATGTTTCCAGTGAAATCGATTCCCTTTGAAACCAACAGGGGAACATGAAACACATTCTTAACCAAATGGAATATTATTTACCGAAGGTGTTTTAGCATCCGACTTTGGTCAGACTTGTTTCTTAAATTCCACTAAAGCAGTCATTTCAAATCTGGAGGCTGTCAGATTCCTCACGTCATGCTTCAAAGGCCACTCGCAAGGCGAGCCATTCCAGCCTAGCGAACATTCGTGACCACCTGGAGCCTCCATGACCCTTTACAAATGGGGTCATTACCCTAAATAATGGGGTCACGGACCTATTATAAATGCGCCGCCCACCCTTGTTTTACCTACCTGGATCGCCAGTTGCGATCGTGCCTTTCCATGCACTCAAAGCCCCCAACACCGATCGCAACCGTAACTGAAAAAAGAAAGCGGCAACTTGGCTGTCTAGGTGAGGAGTTGTTGCATCCGACTTTGGTCGGCCATTCTTTTGGGGTTGAAATCCAGGGTGTTGGCTGATCAAGGCCGTGGCGGAATTATTTTTTTGCTCAAACGACCAACCAGCCTTGTTGAGCCCCAAGGGTCTTTCAAAGAACCTAAGATGTTGGGTGAGATTTCTCTTGAGCCCAACTTGATGTGTTCATCCCTGACTAATCTTGGCGGTCCGTTTTCCAATCCCCTGCTCAAAGTGACGAACTTGTGGCTAAGACTCGCAAAGTACCACTCAACCAAGTAAAAACGTGGCTGTGGGTCAAAACCCAGGAAACCCCTGGGTGAACCTCAAAAAATAGCTGGAATTCAAATGGAGGTTCATCCACCCCAAAATGGCTCGGATCGCCAACTTTTTGCAGCTCCCAGCTTTGCGGTCTCCACTCCTCTCACTTCCGAGCCTCTGCAAAAAGGTTCGCCCTTGGGTCCAGTTCGGGAGAAAAAAAAGCCACTTCCCCCAAAAGCTAAAGTCCAAAGATCCAACTAGATCGCCAGACATTCACCTTTTTTTTTATATAGCCAGACAGTTTTTTGTTTTTGACAAAAAACAATGCCACTCACCTGGTCCAAGCAACCAAAAAGTCACTAAAGCCCATGAGCTTGACGGAGTCTTCAGGACGGCAAGAAGCTCAGCCGGGTTTGAACCTTTTGGGGCCAGAAGTGGCTGGTCAAAAATAGGGTAACCCCAAAATGGAACCTTAAACTCACTTGCCCAAAGGACCTGGAAATAAAATGTTAACCTTTTGGGACCTTTACTAAAAATGGACCAAAATGGGAAAACCAAAAGGTCAAAAGGTCGATTCGCTTTGGGCAAGTGAGCAAATGGACACATGGACAAAACCTGCGGTCCATATCCTGGTTTTATTTTGACCCACACCCAACTGACTAATTGCCAAGGCAAAATGTTGGCGTTTTGTTTTGAGGGTGCCCCAGTGGCCATGGGGAAAACAAGGGCACCTTTCTTTTTGTTGGTTGAGCTAGGTCCTCCAGTAGTTTGAGGATAGAATAAGTTGGTACCCGATTTTGTTTTGTTTTGTCTATTTTAGTAGGGGAACCCTGCCCCAAAAAGAGAGTAAAAGGGGCACTACTGGGAGACCTAGTGAGTTAAAGCCGAACGCTACGTTTTCTCATTTCCAAGGCTGGTTGGGTGATTTCAAAGGCAAACTCGATGGATACTATGTTTTTAGGGCTCCCTTTATTTAAGACACACCCAAATCACTTGGGCCACTTGGGCATGTCTGTTACATCACACACAAAAAGAAGGTGGTGGTCCTGTTGGCGTCCTTTAACACCAAAAGAGGGGTAACTCCGAAAAGGACGGATCGCGCGTATGTCTTCTCGATCCGGTGCCCAGGGCCCTCTAAGTGAAGTTGACTTGCTTGCGAGGGGCTTCCACGGGCGGAAATGGGCAAGAGTTGAAAAGGCTTGGCTTGGACGGTGCTTCCGGAAGCACACCTTAACATTTTTTATGTTTTTTCTCCGTGGTGTCCGGTTGCCCAAAAATCGGGGTTTCCGATCCCTGAACTATCTTCTTAGCTCACTTCCCGAGTTGGACTTAAGCTGCTTGGGGGAGACATGTGTAGTGGCAAACATCAAGTACAGACTGTTTCTTGCCAGTCCACTCAGGAAGTGAGTCAATGTTTACCCCTTACTAAGAAATTCCTCTGAATAAAGACCGTCCTCTTTCCCCGAGTGCCAGCCAATACTACTTTACAGGGACCCCCCAACATTTTAGCCCGCCACCAAAACCACCCTCGATAAAACTTTCCCCTTGGCCCCCAAAACCCAAAAACGAAACACCAAAGTGAACAACAAAAGCTATTTGCTGCCGCTTCTGCCAATGCTAATTACCTTTGTGGGCTTGAGTTGCAACTTCTTACTACAGGTTGTGTATTAATTCGAAAATTGACAAGCTCGCAACGGTATCCCCCCCTCCCCTTCAACGGCAAATAATACAACCCGCACTCTTCAGCTCCGTGACCATAAAACACACCGTGTCCTTTCACTCTCCTCCCCCTCTTGGTTTCCTCCTGATTCCCATTTCTAAAAAAAACATCCCTAGCAAGATGAGGGAAGTACTGCCAGAAGAGTTCCAAAGAAAGGGTACTTGGAGTCTCCATGACCCTTTCAACATGGGGGTAATCTTCTGGGGCCCAGTCTTACTGGTGCTCAGGAGGGAATGAGAGAATGACCCCTACAAACCATCCCTTGTGATTTTCTTTCACAAAATCCCCAGGTTGATTCCCTCATTCCCTGTCTATCGCACCAGCAAATACCTGGACCCTCAAATTTCCAACTTAAACATGTGCTTTTTTGCAACCCCAAAACATGCTTGGGTGAACTCCCCCTTGTTTGATGGGCAGTTTCGGGTGTTGGGCTCTCCCCCCGTCTGAGCCGAACCGAAGGGCAGACCAGGCGTAGCGCTTCAAGCCATGGGGGCCCACCGCCTCACACGACTCGCGCGGCGAAGTCGCGTCAGCGCGAGCCAATGGATTGGCCCTTTCCCAAAGGGCCAGCGAACTTGGGTTGAAAGTTGGCTACTTAGGGGTCGACTCATGTTCCATTCTTTAAATGTGCTACTTATCTAGGGGTTTCATGTTCGGTTGAACATTTGCTACTGATCTAAAAAGTCGATTCGTGTTCCATTCTTTTCAATCGTTCTTTCCAAGAACGAAATGGGGAAGCAAACTTGTGAGATGTACCGCTCAAATGTATCCTGAACCACGGTCCTGACCCGCAAAGCGGGTTGAATCTGCAAGGGACCCTAACCCAAAAAAAAGAGGCTCACAGGAGAGAGAGAGAACGACCGCTAACCCAAAACAAAGTGACTCAGGGTGAGAGAAACAGAACGACCGGAGAGATGACTCTCCGAACACCGTGCCCGAGTGACTACTTGAAGTCCAGGGACTCGGGCAGGGAGAAGGTGTGGCTAAGCAACTCCTTCTCCCTGGGGTTCAACCCCCATTAAAACAAAGGTTGGCCCAATTTAGATGATGACAATCTTTAGGTAAATCATGGTGGTTATATGAACCCCCATTGTTTTAAAGGTTGTTTGAACCCCAGGGTTCTCGGTTTGTGACAATAGAAGTACTGGCCCCATTACCTTGCCATGATCAAAGTCACCTGCGTGGTAGGTTGAACCGTAAGACCCCTGTGCTGACTTTTTAAAACTACCCGAAAACCGTCAAACGCATGGCCCCTGAAATAGGGGCTGCCTCGGACCTGCAATTGCGGTATCCTTTGGTTTCCATTGAATTTGGTGTCCAGCCTGAAAAGTGCACCCTCAAAACGGCACACACACGCGCACACACACACACACACGGATCAAATCTGGAGGCTGTCAGATTCCTCACGTAATGATTCAAAGGCCACTCGCAAGGCGAGCCATTCCAGCCTAGTGGCCATTCATGACTGGTGACTATTCGGAAGGCCAAGGGCCAGTTCTTCAAACGCTGCCTTTCCTAGGTCCTCCAGTAGAGAGGTTAGAATAAGTTGGCACCAACTTTTTCCAGGACGTCTTTAGTAGGGGCACCCTCCCCAAATAAAAGGGCACTACTGGGGGACCTAGTTCCCATGGCTCCCCCTTGGCTCTAAACCAGTTTCTGGTTTCGCGGTTCCTTGATCCCTTGCTGAACCTCAAACCAACTCTTCGTGGAACTCCAACTCCAAAAGTCCAAGGATGTGGCTTGTGAACGGCCAATTTAAGATGCGATACCCTTGAATACAGTGGATGGTTGCGAGATCCATGCCGCCCCACCATTCAAAAACCGCGGAAGGAAGCAGCCTACCGCAAATACCAACAAACTGTGGTTTCCACCAGTCAGACACCCTGGACATCTACTGCAAATACCAACAAGTGGCTTCCCATGGCTTCAAAGTGCCCGCGCTTGGCAGCCCCAGCTCACCGAAAAAAACATACCGACACCGGAAAAATCGGTGAAGTTGCAAAGGGGAGATCCGCCGAAAAGTTGGAGTTGCGTCTCATCTCATAAAACGGGGCTCCCGGCCTTGGATTAAGCAGAAGCCCCTGTTTGATAAGTGGCTGTGGCTCAAACAACCCGGAATTCCACAATGGCTTGCCCGATCGGTAAGTGGAAACATGGGTGCCAACACCTGCGGAGCCAGCCCCTCCGATCGTTGAATTTTGAGCCACACCCAAGTAGGAGGGGGGGACGGGGGGAGTCCCCTGGCAGCGGGGATGGGTTCAGCACTTTGGGAGGAAAACAAGCCCTGAGACCAGGACGGGTTCTGCTTCCGGGGTCTAAGCCTTCAGCTCGAGACGTGTTGGAAATAAGGGTCTGAGGGTCTAGCACGGTGATACCTGCGGATCCATGTAGCAATCGAGCGTGCCCGTCCATCTGTACTTTGTATGACTCACTCAGCCCATAGGTCTCGTAGTCTCTCGGCACGATGAGGACGATCTGGACGACATCATCTCTGTAGGCGATGTGGCGAAGTCGATCGCGAACTGTCATCACCGCCCTGGCATTCTTCCATGTGCGTGTTCGCCCCCCTGCAAAAAAATGAAAATCATTCCGGTGGTGAAATCGATTCCCTTTAGAACCAACAAGGGAACAGAACAAATACTCCTAAGCAAATGGAACTGTCGTATTGCCGGAGGTCCCTTTTTTGGTCTGAAACCACGGGAATCCACGTCTCGGACTGCGACCTTGCGCAACACAAAGGGGGGCTTACCCTCCCACACGCTACCCTCCTGTCCACTAAATGACTGACTGACTCCTGGAAGACAAGTTTCCTTTAAAATGGAATCTCTGGTGGGTTCCATATTGATGAAAAACAACGTGAAACCCACCAAGACGACCGTTCCAAAGGCCGGCAGTGAGGTTCCATGGCGGTGGTGAAATCACCTAAGGAATATTATTCGGCGAACTGGACAGATGTCGTTTTTTGAGGGAAACACAAAAAGGAAGACCACCATTATGGGGGACCCCCAAAAAAGACAACCCCAAATGCATCATCATAACCAAGAGGGCACCGATCCGGACCTCTAGGGAAAAACGGGCACCCTTTGTCTGTTTGATTTCAAAAAGTACCCACGCAACACACACTCACAACAAAAATAGTCATGTGTCAACCCAGGGGGCCTGCAAAATTGTAGTTGTCCTGTTGGCTTCCTTTCAAACCAACACAAAAAGGCACCCTCAAACTAAGCCCAGGTGGTATCCCCAACAGCCCCGGAACCCCCGAAAACAAAAAGCAAACTCAGGAAACCTCCCTGAAAGCTGGCCCCAAACCGTTGGAAGAAATGGAGGTAGGGCTCCAAGCCCTTTGGTGCACCTGCTTTGTTGGTGCCAAACGGGAAACAAGCCATTCTTCCTCCACTTGCTGAGAAGTCCCCTGGGAAAAGTCCACATATTTCCGGTAGTCATAGATTCCCTTTAAAACAAACAGGGGAAAATAAAACATCTTCACCAAATGGAAGTCTTTGGGTCTCCGATTTGTTTTGAACCAACTGAGCAACGGACTGTCCGCCGGAACATGATCTGGAACCATCTGGAACATGATCAGACTGATCAGTGTGGAGAACAGCAGGGTCCAACCCAGAACCTACAAGAACCATGTTCAAAGGCTGGTTTCCGAAACAACCATTTCCTATGAATGGGCCCATGAACGGCAGTTTGGGAAACCACCATTGGTCTAGTTGCAAAATCTGATGAGCACTTGTGAATCCCTTACATTGTCCCACTTGCCTACCCCTTACATCCCCCTTACAAAAGGCAATACCGTGAGTCTCAGCGAGGCGCCCATCGCAGAGAAATTGCCCGTTTTGCAGGAACATGGTCTTCCAAACACCTCCAGTCAGCTTCTAAAACTTCTAAGGGATGGGAGGGTAAGTGATTGAAGCTGTAAATGTTGGTTTCCCAGGTCCTCCAGTAGAGAGGTTAGATCAAGGGTACCCTTTATTCGTAGTCTATTTTAGTAGGGGAACCCTCCCCCAAAAAAAATCGGTAAAAGGGCACCTACCTGGGGGACCTACTGTGGATGGACGAAATCTTGCACCGCCTAAGAAACCCTAGAATGATAGGATCCCCTGTAAATACCAACAAACATTATGGCTTATGGTTTCAACCAGGGTGTCTTGGGTGGTGCAAATGGATTTTGCCCCTCCGCAGTACCCTTGCCACCCCCCCAAAACAATGGTGATAAATTCCTATTGAAACCAACAAAGGAAAACAACAAGTATTCATTTCAGCAAATGGAAGTGATTGAAGTGGTAAACATTGTGTTTTCAGCTTCGCGGAAGTTTTTGCTTCGCGTCCCGGCAAAACGCGCGTCTCACGCCTTGCCCACCAGCTGCGTCACGCGCCGCCCGTGCCGCGCCCGCCGCTTCCAAGCGCCGAACACGGCGCGGAAGCCTCGCCGAGAGTTGCCGGAGGCGTCAGGAAGCCAATGCACCCGGTTCACCCCTACTGTGGATGGACACAATCCTGCACCACTTGGAAACCATGGGACACCATTTTCATTGCTATTTACAGGGGAATCATCATGTCAGGGTTTCTTGGGTGGTGCAGGATTTCGTCCATCCACAGTAGGTCCTCCAGTAGAGAAGGGTACCAACTTTTTGCAGCAGTCTAATTTAGTAGGGGAACCCTCCCCGAAAAAAAGGGTAGAAGGGTACTACTGGGGGACCTAGAATTAACATGTCTGGCCTGTGAAATCAGGCAGTACCTAGGGATGCGTAGGTTTTCCATGCCGCTTCCTCGGTAAAAACCGCACAAAGAGGGTCTGCCCAAATGACGCATCCACATTCTTTGTGGATCCCGTTTAGGGAGGGTGGTCCAAGGAGAGGGGTCCCGGGGGGGGTCCGATGGTTCCTACTGGGGGGTGTCGTTTTTCAGGGGACTTTACCAAAAAAAACACCAAGGCCAGTTGATGTTCCGTTTAAAGGCCACAAAAAGGTTGGCAGTCTCTCCCAAAAAAGCTGCGCCCAGCGGAATCTCGTCCAGGAAGGGTGGTTCAGGAAAGGCGGGGGCTCCCCAAGCTCCCCAAGAAACCCAGGCTGCCTTAAACTCACTTCCTGAGTTGATGGGCCAAAAAAAGTTCAAACTGTCTGTTTACCACTAAAATGGTCTTCCCAAAAAGTTTAAAGCTCAGGAACTCAGGGAGTGAGTAAGCAAGGTTTCGGGCTCTCAAATACCCACCTTCCTTGCACCTACCCCGCTCGATTCCAGAATTGGGCGCCCGTGTCCGTGGATCTCCAGGTATGCTCCAAGGCTGGGGGACTGCACATTGTAAGGTTTACAAGGTGGCGTCTTCTGCCGTTGTTTTTCTCTTTTTTTCTGATTTTCTGACAGAACTTACGATGAAGAACTGGTTTTCTCAGCGGTTGCATGCACACATCCAAGCCGAGAGATGATGTTGCGGGCATCTGCTCAGGTCTTGGCAGCGACAGCCAACCTTACAAGCCACCGGCGTTGTCGCCGTGGCAGCCTTGCGATCCCTTGGCCGGAGCCTTTGGGAAAAACAGCTTCTCATGTGCTATTGACGCTGGCTGTGTGCCGTGGAATGCACAAAAAAGCAGTCCGGCGGATTTCGAGCAGTCCGGCACGGACACCCCAACCACCTACTCAACTTGCGGGTGTGGGTTCTGGGCGCTGCTTTAAGCCTGGAACTGCAAGGGGCGCCACGGGACGGGGGCTCTATCACCTATCAAACCAAGCTGTTAAGAGCATATCCTGGGTCTATCCCAGGCTTACCCACAAATAGAATTCCCCCTACCTGGAGTCTCCAATTTAAAATTAGGTCCATGACCCCTTTATTTTAGGTAATGACCCCATTTTTAAAGGGTCATGGAGACTCCCTCTAGTCTTGCCTGGACGTCCACGGCCAAATCTTTTCGGGGCTGGGGAATTCCATCTTCAAATCCGCGGCAACATGTCCGGGCTACGAATCCGACAGTACCCTTCCACTTGGTTCTGCACGTGACTCCAGACCAAAAGTGCAATACGGGTTTTGCGTGTTGGGCAAAGGGGCAACTGTGCACCAACCCATGATTCTTGCGGGAAGATACATAAGCCACGGTCTATATTCATGGTTTCCCACAACAACACGAAATTATAGATAGAATAATGTCCTGAATGCCGCTAATTGCAATTCGAGGCTCGTGACTCGTGCTCTCAAAATTGGTAGGTGTCCCTAGCAAGTGAAACTAGAAAAGGAATTCCCCTTAACAACAACACGAACATGCAATAAGACATTTATCTGCAAATGTGTACAATATTCCCAAAAGCGAAATTAAGAATCGGATCCAAGAAAAAATCAGATCTTTACCATTGCTTTCGCTCGTTTGACCCACCAAGTGAGCTCGCCATAAAAATTGCACACCATTCAGGGGTACCCTTTAAGCAACCCGCATGATGCAAAAGCACCGACTGTTGGGAAACCCTGCTTGTTGGTACTTACAGGGAAATCATCTCCCCAGGGTGTTTTAGGGGGGGTGCGACATGGACATCCACTCCACAGTATGACGTGAGAGAATGGAAGCCAAAGCACATCTACACATCTGGGTTACGGCCCAAGCTAAAGCACATCTACACCTCTGGGTTTCTGGCCCTCGAATTCTTCGAGCCCATAAAAAATTGCTTACCTCTCGGGGCCCTCGGAGACATCTCGGCCGTGAGGGCCCCGGCGCAGGAAGTCCCGCTTCGCGCCCTCACTCTCCCGAAGGAGGCCTCACGGAAGGCAAAGGGGGGCTGCATGTATGTGTAAATAGATGTATATATATATATGTATACGGTCACCCCCCCCCATGATCTACCTTCATATGTCGACAAAAAAGGAAAAAGAAGGAAAGGAAAAACGGGAAACAAACACATGTACTTATATAGTAGGCCCCCCAAACATACCAGTTGCTCAAATGACAAAACACTACACGCTTTTTTGTCTGCTGAAAGTTCAAAGGGTACTTTTTTGGGGGTCTTTTGTTGAGAGTGCCTACCCTTTGTTGGTGGGTGTGAATTTTAATTAGGGGACCCTTTGGCAAACATCCGTTTCAACAAAACCCCAAAACAGGGTTCCCGCAAAACACAAATCCATTTCACCCAAACCGTCTATCCTTTTGTTCAATCAACCTCCTTTTGGTTTCCCTTTAAAGAAAATGGACCAGGGAATAGCTGTTTACTGGGGGGCCCTTCCCTGTGCAAACCGTCGATCACCTTTGGTACCTCCAATGCCTCTATTTGCTGAGAAGTCGCCTGGGCAAAACGAGGAACTGTTTCCAGTGAAAACGAGTCCCTCGAAAACCCATTGGGGGACAGAACTATTATTCACCAAAAATAGAAATGGCAAGGCACTTTGTTCCTGAAAAACGTCTCTGCAGGGCGATTCGGTCAAACAAAAGACCAGGCCACTTGGGTGTGTGACACCTACTTGGGCTTGTTGTATTTTTTGGTATTGGCTAGGTCCTCCAGTAGAGAGGCAAAAATAAGGGTACCCTTTTTTCTGTAGTCTGTTTTAGTAGGGGAACCCTCCCCCAAAAAAGGGTAAAAGGGCAGCACTGGGAGACCTAGTTGGTATTGGTATTGGTCCGCATTCCCATTGGTTTCCCCAAAACGACTTGAAATCGGTGGATGTGAACATCAGCTCGTGACGAGCGTGCCGGTTCTCCCTGGGAATTGAGGGAAGAATAACCCCTGTAAACCATCCCACAAGTGGTTTCATTGAAGGGTGTCCCTTCCGGGAATGAATGCCAGACCAGCCATGTTTGAACCCTTTAAGAGTGTCTTTATTCCGTGCTGGTACCCATGTGTTGGTGGTTTGTAAGGGACACCAAATTCACCGAAGCCATTTTCGAGGGTCTCCGATGTATTTTTTGTTTAGACAAAACACACACACACACTTGGGTGTTCGATTCGCCAAGTTGGCAAGTGGTTGATAACCCGAATTATGATCAAAAGTGCCCCAAGTGAACTTGGCCTGGATGCAAGCAGGTCAAGGTCATTCACCACACTTGGCCGAAGACCCAAGTACCCATCTCCCCTGCCCAAGAAAAGATCGGGGTCTCCGATGGATTTCGTGTCTCGCCCGCGCGCAACCAAAAAACGTATCCCCAAATCAATAGTTGACTAGGTCCTCCAGAAGAGAGGTTAGAATAAGGGTACCCTTTTTTCTGTAGTCTATTTTAGTAGGGGAACCCCCCAAAAAAAAACACGGGTAATCGTCACCAAAGAGGCATTTGAAGGGTTTCGGCACTAAAAATCGGGGGTGTGGGACATGACCACAACAAAATGGGCTTCCAAAAAACGCTTCACCCCCCCATAAGAAGGCGGGGACTTCCCACAAGTATCGCAGTGGTGGGATAAACCTGATGTGATCCTCAAGCATAAGTTGATCTAGTGACCAGTGGTTTCCGTTGAAACTTGCACCAAACAGGACATGGAGCGTCCCAACATCTACAAACTCCAAGGACAGCTCCGGAAAATCGGGGGCTCTCCGCACGTCGATTCGTTCACCTAGGTCCTCCAGTAGAGAGGTTAGAATAAGGGGACCAACTTGTTTCTGTTGTCTATTTTAGTAGGGGAACCCTCCCCCAAAAAAAGACTGTAGTCTACTTTTGTAGGGGAACCCTCCCCCAAAAAAAGAAACGGTAAAAGGACATCTGGGGGACCTAGATTCCGAGTCTCTCGCTTGCTTTCTGCTCCCCCGCCAAAAGCTTAACTTTGGTGGTTAAAGGAAAACCCATTCGTTGGCAAAAAGTTAAAGTCGCACAACATCCAAGCAAACTGCACCAACGCAGTCGATTCCCCAGGGTTCTTTTCAAAAACCAGCCATTTCCCCAGTTTTTGGCGGTTTTCTAGAAAAGGATCCCTGGAAAGAATGGACATGGAAAATACCAAGAAAGATATAAGAAAGCATTATTTTACTTTATTTAATTATGAAAAACACAAAACAGTTTTTAGGCAAAATTAAGAATATAGGTTTCCTTAAAGAACCACACATCGATTCCGAGTTCCGCGTCGATTCCGCGTGGATTCCGAGTCCACCCAAGGCGCCGGTCCGCAGGGCCCAGCGCTGGGCCATCTGCTTCCGGCGCCAGCGCTGCCAGGTGCCCATCATCGCGAGGCGCTCCGCCTCCGCCTGCCGGAGGTCCGCCTGCTTCGGGGCTTCGGATCTTTTTTGCGGAGTCCCCGGAGTCAACGGGGCGGCCCGCATTTACACATATACACATACATATATATATATATATATATATACACATACATATACACATACATATATATATATATATACGTTGAGGCCCCCCCATGAACTGCCCTTCAGATAAGTAGAATTATTGACCTTGAGACATTGCAGCACCCAAAGGGTAGTTCATGGGAAAGGGTCCTGAGAATATATGTGTGTATGTTCCACATTTCTCTAAACGTATGAGTGCCAAAGCTGCGTACACACCTGTAAATGAGCAATGCTATACAAATGTGCAGTTGTCTCGGCTGGTAACGATGGAATGGACGGAAAAAGAAACAAAACTGCTTGGTGAACAGTAAAATGGTCCAAACCCCCCAAAACCAGTCAGTAGTTGACCCCGGATCTAAGTAGAACCCATCCTATGAGGGGGGTGGGGGCGGGGGCCTCTCCAACAGTGGTCTGATTCCCAACTAAACCCAAAAACGCCACTGTTAGTAAACTGGGGTTCATCAATCCGTAGTTTTTCATTGCGTACTACGTTGCTAGTAAACTCTCACTTGGTCAGGAAAGCACCCGAACTGTTTGTTGAACACCAAAAATGGTCCAACCCCGAAGTGACTAAAGGCCAGACAGTCGGTTGGGTTTCTCCCAACATGAAGCTCCATGGGTTCCATGTTCTTTGGGCAAAAGCTGTTTGGATCTTTTCATTTAAGGGTCCCAGAGGGTCTGTGCGGAAAGGGATGATTCTCCATTCCTTTGAACCATCCTTCATCATGCTTCTCAACAACCTCCCGTTGGGGGAGCTACCCTGGAGAGATATGATGTGTACTCCTAGTGGCAACAGTATGGTTACCCCATGTTCCATGTCAACTTCGGAAATTGAACCGCACGGTTTCCAACTCCCCCACCCCCCAAAGAAACTATATTCGGCCAGGGACTGTCCTGCCAGATCCCGCAAACGATTCCCTAAGCTCCTACAAGATAGGTACCCTGCAAGGTCCTCCCGCACGCCTTATCGATGTCTTTGTTTTCTGGGGTTCCATCCACTTGCTGAGAAGTCCCCTGAAAAAAAACACCATGTCCAGTAGCGAGCAGGGAATGAGGAAATGACCTGACCCTTATAAACCATTCTTTGTCTTCCTTTATGGGAATCCCTGGAACTGTTCAAGACCTCCAGTGGCCATGGGAAAGTCAAGGTTGCCCCTGATGTCGTAGTACGTTTCGAAACCCCCTGAAAGTGACCAAGGGAGTTGTTTGCCATCGCTAATCTCCCAGCACCATGCTACCTTGGTATCACAAGCGGCGGATTCCGGGTGCTTTGAGATGGCGAAATATGTACCCTTAGTTCCCCAACTGTTTGTCATCATGAAAACCTTCTATCTGCTTAAGCCCCCCTGGAAAAATATGTATCCAGTGATAGATTCCCTTTAAAACCCAAAAGAGGGACATCAGACATTCTTAAGCAACGGTTCTAGCTTTCGAAGGCACCATGCCGTCTTCTGACACAAACACCTGGGACTCTCCTACCTGGGTTGTCCAAACAGATCTGCTCAAAGTCAATAACCCTGTGGGTTACATTCGGATAGTCAACCACTAAACCAATTACCTCGCTTGCTTTCTGCTCCCCTAAAAGTGAATAGCTTTGAATGGTTTAATTCGGAAAACCCAATTGGCAAAAAGTGATTCAGTCCCATCCCTTGGCAAAATGCACAGGAGTCGATTCCCCAGGGTTCTTTTCAAAAACCGATCGGCATTTCCCCCAGGTCCAAATGTGCTTTAGAAAGATAAGGATCACAAAGAACTAAAATCCGCAAAAGCAAAAATTTTGCTGCAATTCTTTGCCGGCCGGCCTGGGGCCGGACCCAACCTTCGACATATTCAGACACCCCTCTAGTGAAGGTTTGATTGGCTCAGTTTCCAAGCTTTGATTGGCTTCCTTTCACTGGATTTCCCCCAATCGAAAGTTGATATCAGTTCGCGGGTTTTTCCGTTGAAACCGCCACTTTTGGCGGTTCCAAATACAGGACATGGAGGAGATTCGGGTTGCTTCCCCATTCTTTCCAGGGATCCGTCTTTTCAGGAAACCATCAAAAACCCAGGGGAGACAGCCGGCTTTTGCAAAGAACCATGGTTTCAAAAGAATGGGGAATCAACCCCTGGACATTTGGGTCCTTTCTTTGGGAGGGTGCGACCGGTGTTCCTTTTGGTTTCCATTTAAAGCCACCAAAAGGTGCCAACTCCAAACAAAAACACACACAGCCACGTATGCAATCGCGCTCATCTGATGGAGACACCACCGTGCTCCATTTTTTGGCCGAGTCCTCCCGTCCTCCCCATCCTCTCGTCCTCCCTCAACTCGTCGACTCGTCAACTCGAGTGTTGCCTGCCTGCCCCTTGCCTCCACTGGCTGATTCTTCACTGAAACGGGTAGGTAACTTCGCTGGCATGTAAGAGTCAGCCAACCGCATCGCAACTCCTTTTGGCAACAAAACTTGCCCCCTGCCTCCCCCCTGGCCTCCCCTTGCCTCCTTGCCTCCCCCCATCCCCCCCCCCCAAACCCAAAGCAAAGGACCAATGTCATCCCCTTCCCCCTTCCCCCCCTTCTCAATTTGAGATCTTATGCAATCACGCTGGAGACTCCATTCCGCCTTCCCTCAGCGCATTTTTTTGCCGCCCATCCCGCCTTGAGATGTTTGTGCCAATAGTCGAAGACCATAAAGACCTTCAGCCGCTCATCTTCGCCCAGACGCCTCAGAGCCCCGCGCCTGGCGTTTAAACGCTGGACTCGACTCGGGGTGCCTTCCAGTGGACGGTTTTTCGGAATCCGCAGAAGTCTCGCACCACCTAAGAAACCGGGATTGAAACCATTGTTGTTGGTATTTACAGGGGAATCATGTCCTTTCAGGGTTTCTTGGTGCGAAATGGATTTCGAGGACCCATCCACAGTAGGCAAGGATTGGCTGCAAGATGTCTTGCTTCTTGCTACTTGTGGGGAACGCGTTGGATACAGTGGACGCCAACTATGCAACAATGTTTCGCCCGTACTCACCCTCTCAATCTGCCTGAACATGTGTTTGCGAACCAGAGAAACACACTCAGTGTTACTAGGAGTTTGTCACGTATCACCAGTTTGGTGGGCAAAGATGTATCTGGCTCCATGATTCTACCAACCCCCGGAAATGGTCCATCTATTGACAGTGGATTTTCCCAAACGTCCCAAATTCCATGGGGTTCCCATAGCCACATCTCCCTCTAGCCGTCCCGAAGGCTCAAAAGGAGCCACGTTGTGATAGGTTCCCCTTAAAACCAGCAAGGGAACATTTCAAATTTATTCTTGAGCAAATCTCACGTCCTGAGTGGGCTGGCCAAACAAGTGCCCAAACTTTTGGTTGACACTATATACAATGGTCCAAGCCCTAAAAGGGACTAAAGTGCATGAACTCAGGGAGTGAGAAATTGATTTCCGCCGCTGTCTCTTAGGTTTCCCTAAGCCACACCAAAAAGGGTACATTCCAAAAGGACAAGACCATTCACACGTTGTAGTGATTCAACAGGGGAACACAAACCCTTTTCTTGACTAACTGCTGCTCAGGGAATGAGGAACTGACCCTATTAACCTTTCAACTGGTGGTTGCCTTTCAGGGGGCCAACGCCTGGGTTCATTTCATTTCTCGTTCCCCGATGTCGCACCAGCAAGATTCCTAAGCTTCCCTGTTGCTGGCCTTGGCAGCCAAGGAAACATGTTTCCCCAAGGCTAGCCGCGCACACCATCTCCCTTGAGCTAGGGGGACACCCCCGAGAATGAATGGCAAGTTCAGCAACCGGAAGCAGCTCATGTGGCAATGTTGACCCCTATTCATCAACCCCAGTGTAGTAATAGGGGGGTGTCCCCCTGCAAAAGTGAACAATCGCCACTAAAACCAGGGAGAAGCACCCCCATATTAATAAACAGGGGTTGATTACCTTGGTTGCTGTTGACTCCCCTGCAAAAAGTGAATAGCTTTTTGGGTGTTTTCCACCAACTTGAATTCAAAAAAGTTAAAGTCTAAAGATCCAACCCAATACTGTGGATGGACGAAATCCTGCACCACCTAAGAAACCCCCTGTAAATGCCAATAAACAATGGTTTCCACTGGTTTCAAAGGGGTGCAGGATTTCGTCCATCAACAGTAGCAGCTAAGCTTCTTGGGGGTGTTCATTAAGCGTCCGTTTCCAGCAGCGCCGCCGCGCCGCCTGCCTCAGCGCCTGGTTGTGAACACACAGCCGCCGCCAGCTGTGCATTGCGCTGAAGAGACCTGGCCACGAACTCTTTCCGTGTGTACGCAACCAGTTGCCGATTTTGCTTGTAAAAAAAAGGCAAACTTAACAAGCACCACCAAAAAGACTCAGACCGAATATGGAATCATCTTGATCCGGTTCTCGCTCTCTTCACCAGCAGTTCTCGCTTGATCGGTCGCTCTCACCACAGGTGTGCTCGTAGAAATGAGAAGCCGTCCAAATAGCTACCGAGAGGTTGCCATCGAAGGTTGGCTTCACCGAGCCAAGTCATCGGTCTGTTGTTAGGGAACACCCCCAACACGTCATCGGTCTTCCTTTGGCTTTTTGGTCAACCCAAGGAAAGACACCGACCCTAAGGCGCCCTTAAAAGAAATACTTATAATGGGCAAGGTATACTAATCCACCGACCGAACACGACAAAGGGATAACCGGCGGACATCACCTGAGAGACACCACCCAACTGATGAAAGATTCAAGGTACAACCACATTGCTTTGAAGCATGTACTTTCGGAGTAGGCATGACCCATTTACACTAATCCGCAAAGTGGGACTTGCAGCAGGGTACCAAGCACTTGCAAAGTTATTCATCTTACCAACTTAGATGTTCAACTAACTCAGCTCAGAAGCCAAACCACGTCCTTTTTTTACGCGGACCCCGGCAGAGTTCCGTTTGGTTTCCCTTTAAGAGCCGCAAAAAAAACGCGCCACCCGCCAAAACGCAAGACCCACAGGTCCCGCCTTGCCGGCCCTGCTTCGAAAGATGCTGGCACCTGGGCAAATGATCGACCCAGCAAAAGGTAAATCTGCTTGTTTGGTGTATGTATACATGTAGATATGTATTTATATTGATTTAAATATGCTCCCCCCCAAAAAAAGGAAACAAACCTAATGTTTAACTCGTGTCTTTTATTTTTATTATGTTCTGTTTTTTTTGGGGACCCTACAACAAGAAACTATCTATCTATATATATATATATATTTAGGAGTGTGTCTTTTTTGCGGGTATCCCATTTTTGGGTGGTTTCAGATGGGAAACCACAAGGACACTACCAGTTTGTTCGTTCTTTTCTCTTGTTTTTTAAATTGGGGGGGGTCCCCTAAAACACGACACCCGTATTATGTATATGAATATGTACATATATATATACACATATATTATGTTGTTTTTCAATGTATGGGCATGACAATTAATTGGGGCCTCGGCGGACGTCATTTAGGTGCGGAGTTGTGTCCGCCAGCCAGTTATTCAAATTGGATGGCCAAATGAAAACATTGTATTGACGAGGATGATATGGTGTTAGGCTCTCGGGAGTCAAACAAAGAAACTCAACATTGGTCAAACGCCGCGACATTTGGTATCCTCGTTTTCGATTCCCAAGGTGGTCGATTCGCGTTCACAGGATTGACCAGTTTTGGGTAGTTAACGCGGAAGGGTCACTGATGATAGTAGGGGGATGGCAGAAAGCATCAGCGTCCCTCTAATTGGTCCTCCATTTGATCGGACAAATACTCATAATATATGTCTGGTACTCATAGGGTCCCTGAAAATTCAACAAAGCAAAGTTTTAAGCAAATGATGCCTTTTTAAACATCAGACCACATGAAACAAACTAAACATAAAGAGGTCGATTCGCTTTGGGCAAGTGAGTCTAATCAATCCACTTCCTGGGTGGATTGGCCAACAAACTCCACACCAACTTTTTGTTTACCACTAAACCGGTCCAAGCCACCAAAACGTGGCTCAAGTCCATGAACTGGATTGAGGTGAGACTTTCTTCGATGCTCCCTTTGAGTTCTCCAATAGGGTAGCTTCAACTAACGATCGCGCCAAAAGGAATGGAATCACTTCGGGCAAGTCAGTCTTGGTGGAACGCCATTTCCCCAAGAGCGGTGGTTTGGGGATTCAACCCCTTGTTTAATTGAAATCGCAATAGTTTGGGAAACTGATGTTTTTTTCAAGGTACCCCTGTTGGATGGCTTTTAACAAAAACCAGCAGGAAAACCATTTTGTTTGGCGTGTCCAATTTCTTTACTAGATGGGCGCTGTGGATATTTTAGATCCCGGGGTCCTGATTTAGAAGATTCTAAAATACTTATACTGCTCTGAGCCTACTTTTTACGAAACACATTTTGCATTGTTTTTGTTATTCCCGGGCCCTGATTTCCGGAGCGGCCGATCCACATGCTAACCGGAAACCAGCAGGAAAACCACCCTTGTTCTTTGGTGTGTCCGACTTTTCTTTGCCAGAAACCCACTGGGCGGTTTGGTCTCTGGTCTCTTGTTTGAGTTCCGTGGCCGAACCCCCCGGCCCGCTGCACCCAAGGCGCTGGAAGTTGTGCATGACACTCCGCCGCAAGCAGCGCTGATGCCAACTGCCCAGCATCAGCGAGAGCACGCGCTTGGACGCCCTGGGCGCCAAAAAACGTCGGGTGCACGTTGCTTTCGCCGAGAGATGTGAAGGAAAAAAACGTGGATGTTTTGAGAGTGGGAGTGGGTATGGGTGCTGCTTTCCAATAGTGACAGATTCCCGTTAAAACCAACAAGGCAAAATAACGAGTATTGATTTGGGTATGGGTCAAAATGAAACCACCAGAACACCGCAGGTTTGGGTCTATGTTTCCATTTACCAGGATTCCATTTTGGGTACATATTTTGATCCACAGCCAAACGTTGGAAAAACGTGTGGATGTTTTGAGAGTGTCTTCTTGTCAGGGTACCATGTGTTACGTCTTTAAAAGAATATCCGAGCAAAAAACCACCATTTGGGAGAGGGGTCCCCTAACAAAAGATACATCCATAGGTCAGAAATCTCTCTAGACACTCAAAGATCAAAAGTCGAAGACTATGGGGAAGCGCCAGTTTGAAGGGAAAACCTAAGAGGAAGCCGAACAGGTAGGCGTTGATGTGTTGAGACACGTTCTATCCATCAATTGACACGTCTTGGATGTTGCTTTGATGCTTTGAAAATGGTGGCAACCATCTTGGACCAACGGCACGCGTCAATACCATACTTCACAGGATCTTACCCTCTCCCCCCCCCCCAAACCCCCCCGCACATCCGACTCAAGATAATTGTCCTCTAAACAGCACCCTCTGGCGGCTGTTGTGCTTGGTGTGATGGAAAAGTGGGTAAACAAATCAGCCGGTCAGCCCAGGAACGCAAGAACACAAAACTGAAGAGCATCAGAGCCCAAGGCATCAAATGGGTTCTCGGTTCAATGCAGGTCCCTTTTCCCCTTCAATGGGTCCAGGGTCCCTGCTGATGCTTGGGACAATAACTCAAGCGAATATCAATACCACCATAGCGGAACACCTCGTGAAAGGTATCGAGCCTGAAAAACATAGAGTATGTCGTCTATAGAACAATATTACTCTACCGGTAAACAACCTTTCTCTAATAAAATTGCGTATCGTTCAAGACAATCTCCCTGGACCCTCACAATTCCAATAGAAAGCTGTTTTTTCCCTTAAAAGTAAGGGGTGAAACCCGTTTCTTTTGGGTAATGACCAACCATTTTTAACGTGTCCTGGAGACTTTTTGGGCCGTAGTCCACCCATCGCTATATCGGCAGATGTCCGCCCAGGCGCCGCTCGTCGTCGAGGTTGCTGCTGCACAAAGACAGCAGCAAGCGGCTCTCCAAACCTCAGGGGCAGTCGACAACGCAAAGTCTGCGGGCAGTTTGCATCCTGTCTAAGCAAGCGGCTCTCCCAACAAGAACCACAAAGAACCAAAAAGAACCACAAAGAACCACAAAGAACCAAAAAAACACAGAAGCAAAAAGAACAACATTGAACACTGAGTGTTGTGGAAAACTGAAAACATCAGATTCTATTTGAATTCCTGCCGGCGGAGAAGATCTTGTATGTTTAAGGAGGGCATATTTTGAGCATTTGGAAAACTAGAATACCCATTTCTGGGGTGTTTCGAGCCGCCAGGAGGCCCCCAATTCCATTTATCTAGTCTTCCCGACAGGTCACATGTGACCTGTGACTTGCCAGAAATGAAGATCTCCCAAAGTCAAAATCTCACAATAAGTTGCTTGCGCAACAGACCCCAAGTGCCCATCATCCTCATGAGACCGGCCGGCCGCGCGTCCTGAGGGTGGACTAGTGGCAACAACACAAAACACCTCAGCCTTGCTTGATGAGTGAAGCAGGTGCGGTGTTAGCAGGTGCTGTAGCCCACTTTTATGGCCAGATACCCTTTTAAGGCGGGATTGAAAAGAGACCACCCTAAGACCACCCATTTATACAGGGTTCCCTCATTTGAGTCACAATCAAAGCCTGGTGTTGAAATGGTCGTAATCTCAAGACCATGTAAAGAATCAACATGGCGGAATTCTGCACCCTGTTAGCTATGGCAAGGGGATTGTCCCTTCACTGACAGCAGGATTCGAGCCAGGCTCGTTTGGAGACAGTCCCAACAATCCTGATAGCATCCTTGCCGGTTCGATAGGCAGCGAATGAAAAATGGAGTCTGACACCAAAAAACACATCCCATCTGGTTTCCTTAAGGGAATCCACAAACGCTTTATTTCCAACACTCGGGCTCGGAAAGTCATTCCCTACCTATCGCACCAGCAAGAAAGTCAATCCGCAACCTGGGTTCCCCAAAATGTGGGGAACAGCCTCCTTTTGCTTGGTAGCTTGCGGGAAACTGAGAGGAAATACGGGAAACATGTTGATCCCATGTTGTTCAACTCCAGTTTATTCATAGGGGGGTGATTCCCTCCACAAGTGATGACTCCCCACTAAACCACAACCCCTATTAATAAACGTGGGTTGATTGATACGGAGTCAACACTAGCATCTCAAGAAACTCTCTTCCTGAATGGCCAAAACAAGTACCCGAACTCTGTATTTACCACTTAAATGGTCGAAGCGGCTAAAGTCCATGAACTCTATCGGAAGTGAGTTGTCTCATGTGAGTGACCTTTTGATCAACCCCCATTTGCCTGTATAGTAGGTACCCGAGGGAATCACCAAAGAAAAACAAAGTGTAGTCGATTCACGTTCACGGGATTGAACAGTTTCTTGGGAACGGGGGGGGGGTCACCGGGATAGTAGGGGGATGGCAGAAAGCATCAGCGTCCCTCTCATTGGTCATCCATTTGATTGGACAAATACTCATATATGTCCGGTACTGATAGGATCTCTGAAAAATCAACTCAAGGTGAAAAGGTCGATTTGCTTTGGGCAAGTGAGTTTAATCTCACGTCATGACTGGATTGGCCAACAAACTCCAAACCAACTTTTTGTTTACCACTAAACCGGTCCAAGCCACCGAAACGTCGCTCAAGTCAATGAACTCCATCGGAAGTGAGACTTTCTTCGATGCTCCCTTTGAGCATTCTCCAAAAGGGTAGCTTCAACTAACGCTCGCGCCACAACTCTTCGCCAAAACTCTTAGCCGAATCGAATCACTTTGGGCAAGTCTTGTTGGAACTCAGGGAGTAAGCCGAACAACCAGCGGGCCCCGCCTCGGTTCAACCAAAAAGTTAAATTCCAAGGATCCGCTGCCAAAAAGATTCCTAAGCGTAAAGATTAGGCAGACCAAACAACCACAAAGAACCACAAAAACTACAAGAACCAAAGAGAACCAAAAAGACCTACAAAGAACCACAAAGAACGAAAAATAACCAAAGAGAACCACAAAGAACCACAAAGATTTCCCACCCCCCCCCCCCCAACCCCTAGAACCCCCCGGCGTCGCCCGGGGCTCCCCGCGGGGCGCGCGGCGCAGCGCCGCGAAGCGGCGCCAGGCGCCGAAGGCGCTGCAGGCGGCGCCCAGGCGGAAGCCCCAGGAGGCCCTCAGCGCTTCGTGAGCCCCTCGGTTTTTGGGGTGGGCTGGGGGGGGGGGGCGTTTGAGGTGTTTTTTGGGTTTGTTTGTTTTTTTTTTTTGGGGGGGGGGCGGGGGTTGGGGTCGGGGATTCTGGTTTGTGTGTTATTTTTAAATTTGCGTATTATGTTGTTTTGGTTTTGTTTTTTTGTTTGTGGTGGTTGGGTGGTGGGGTGGGGTGGGGGAGCTGTTGGGGTGGTGTTTTTAAAAAAAAAAAAAAAAAAAAAAAAAAAAAAAACATTTGTTTGTTGTTGCTTTGTCTTTTTCTTTTGTCTTTCTTTGATTTTTTCCGCGGGGGGGGGGGGTTGTTTGTTGTTGTTTGTTTCCTTGAATTTATGTTTCTGCTGCTTCTTCTTTTTTTCTTTGGGGGGGGGAGGGGGTCCATACAAAAAGCCTTCATGCAAGACAGGTTTAGCCAATTTGGAGCCAACCGTTTTTTTTCTGCAGCCCAAGGGGTCATCGCCTGGTTCTCGTAAGGGACATGCCTATTGTCAGGCTTGACATACCCCTAAAAAAGGTTAGTAGTGGGTGTAGGGGTCAGGAAAGCAACAATGAATTTGGGCTGGAAATCGGTGTATATTTTAAAAGGAAACTCTGGTTCGTGCGACCATTCCAACTCATTCCCTGCCTAATTATCGAACAAGCAAGTATATTTTGGGTTAATGAGGCAATGCACCGTATAAGCCATCTTTTTCTATGGTTTGTCTGGGTGCATTCCCAACACCCTCGCCTGGCTCATTCCCTATCGCACCGGCAAGTTGAAGGCGCGCAGCTTGGTGGTTTGGAGTTGGGCGGTTTTCCATGCACCCTCTACGAACGCTTCAAATCCAAGCCTCACTTCCTGAGTGGATTGTTCAAAAAATAGCGTCCGAAACGGAACTCAGGAAGTGACAAACCAGGAAGCCAGGAAACAAAGGCACCAGCTTCCAATTGGTGATGCAAACAATGAAAACCAACGAAGCCACTTGCAGTCGAGCTGCTGTTCCACGATAGCGCCTGGCAAGGAAAGGTGATCCCACGAGGGGCTTGCGGGGTCTGGGTGTGTGTGTGTGTACCAAGGGTTGCCTAGAATATGTGTGTGTTTGTTGTTTGTTTTGTTGTGTTTTTGGTGTGTTTTTTCAGCCGAGAATGAAGGGCCTGACAAACACTGGTAGGTTTACTGGTTTGTCAGTGCGCTTGGCAAAGTCCACTTGGGCCTGGAAAACACATCTGGGCTGTCCAAAATGGACACCCGCGCTAAACACTAAAGACCTCAAAACCTAGCTTTTTTCTGGTACTCCTTGTCTCCATGTGGCACAAGGCAGGCACGCCGGCACCAGGGCCCAAAGGGTTCAGAAGGGTGGCTCGTCTTCTGTTAGGAATCGGACATCCCAAAATAGTGACTGTCCGCTTGGTTTTGTGTTCAACCTTTTAAAGCAGGTATATATCCTCGAACAACGGCATCCATATGTTTGACAACCCCCCACCCCCAACTACCGCCCAAGGCTCATCGGCGGGACTAGCATCCTTGACTTTTCCTTGGGTATGTTCTCTGGTGTTCAACGCGGAGTTCAATTTGCAAGTTGTACACTTCCGAAACCTGAAATACGACCCACGTGGCAAAACCTAAAACACATGAGGTTATTTTTAGCCCAAATTGGTGAGCTCGCAAAAAGGATGGGCAGAGGCCAGTCCATCTCACATAGACTTGTTTGTTGCCCTTTGGATCCCAAAAGTGATTGATATTGTTTCGGCTGATGCGGTTGGTTGGTTGGTGCCAACAACATGTTCCCAATCAGAAACGCTAAGAACAGTACACGCTCTTATCCTAGCGAGAAAAATGAGAGGCAAATCGAAGCATTGCCAGTAGCTATGTTACAGTCCAACATGCGCCGTGTGTCTAAATGAATTCAGCAAAAATGCCATCGGCGTGGTACCAAAGATCATAGGCGTCCCAGTGCACTGGTTTGCACTTTGCCGCCAATCGTCCGCAAATTGTCCGCCCGCACTCCACTGGCAGCGACTGCCATCACCGCTGGCTGAGATCCCAGCTCCACCAAGAATGCGTCCGCCTTGTAGTTGTCTGCAGTAGCATTCAGCACCGTGGCCGGTGGAAAGTTCCGGCAAGGATTGGGCGATGTACACTTTGGATGAGGGTTTCAGCGGGATCGGGCATGGCGGCAATCTGAGGCAATGCGGCCACGCCGACGCGGACTGCTTCCTTGAACTCGGCGATGATCACGGTGCGGCCAAGCAAGTCAAGGACCCACGCATCAAGGGCGTGCCTCAACTGTCTGACCTCCCTGGTTGCCACAAAGTGCTTGGAAGGTTGCGCCATTGAAAGGTGCTCTTCCCCTACAAACGGAACCTGTAAGAGGGCAATTGCAAGATCAAACTGCAATTGAAGGGAGCAGCGTGACACGCCGGTGGAGGGGAGTGTAAACTATCTTAATTACTCTTCTTGGGAGGGAGGGTCGAAGCCGACATGTCGGTCCAAAAGCTATGAAGTCCGGAAACGGTTACTTGATGGCAATTCCCCTGCCCCAAAGATTGACTTTTTGCAGGGGCAAAGATGTCCAAACAAAGCTAAACGCTGAAGATCCAACCCAGTAGCTTTCAACAACTTGTTCCAGAAAAAACAGAAATAGGGCCCTCTTTCCTTCCCCTTCAAACACTACCCTGGCAAAAGGAAACTCTCGAACTGGCCCGAAAAGTGGTGTTTAAAATCTCCCTTGCGCCTGACTCCAGGAGCACAAACGAAGTCCAAACTTTTCGTGCGCAAGCCAAAAGTTGGCCTATATCCCAGGACCTCAGGGAGTGAGTCACTTGTTTGGGAACCCACAAAAACTCACTTGCCCAAAGGACCTGGAAACAAAAGGCTAACCTTTTGGGTAAAGTTACCAAAAATGGGGACCCAACATGGGAAAACCAAAAGGTCATTTCAGATCGATTTGCTTTGAACACCAGAGTGACATGTGTGTTTTTGTTCGGCGCGAAATCGTGTTTTACGGGGAAGCCGCGAGCAAAACCAGCTTTTTGGGGCGTACCTTTTCATTGAAACACACCCGCTTGGGTCTGTGGGTGAGAAAAGCGTCCACGCCCGCGTCCGACGCTCCGTGTGTTTTTCTCCGCCTCCGTGTCCGACGAGGCGGGCACGCGCTCGCTTCTTGGCCAAGACTTGGTGGCTGTGAGCCGCCCAAAGCTTCAGGCAAAGGGACGGATACCTCGGAGGACTCGAAAGGTTGGAGGTTTGGGTGGTTTAAAGGGAAGCCAACAGGAAAACCAGCTGTTGTTGAGTAGTTCTTATTTTTTCGTTGGGGGTGCAATGATCATGTTGTTTATTTGTTTCTTTGTTTCTTTGTTTGTTTGTTTGTTTGTTTGTTTGTTTGTGTGGTTGTTTGTTTGTTTGTGTGGTTGTTTGTTTGTTTGTTTGTTTGTTTGTTTGTTTGCTTGCTTGCTTGCTTGCTTGCTTGCTTGCTTGCTTGCTTGCTTGCTTGTTTGCTTCTTTGCTTGCTTGCTTGCTTGCTTGCTTTGCTTGCTTGCTTGCTTGCTTGCTTGCTTGCTTGCTTGCTTGCTTGCTTGCTTGCTTGCTTGCTTGCTTGCTTGCTTGCTTGTTAGTTTGCTTGATTGTTTGGTTGGTTGTTGTTGATTTTTTTGGGGGTACACTAAACAAACTTGCGATCGGTGCGATGGGCAGGGAATGAGAAACGGAATGACCCGGAGATAAACATATCCCACAAGCGGTTTCCTTTAAGGACAATCCCCAGGTTCATTGCCACATTCCCTGCCGATAACCAACAAGATGGGTACCCCCGCGTCCATTAATGGCACCAGCTGGAGAAATTGCCCCATTCAGGAACATGGTCCAAGTACCTCCAGTCAATGGATGCGAGGACAAGCCTTGTGACTTGGACTTCGAAATCGGCCACCCCTCACTTCCGATCTAGATGGGCCAAAAAAAGGTAACCAAACTGTTTGTATGGCAATAAAATGGTCCAAGCCCGAAAAGTGGCTAAAGTCCGTGAACTCAGGGAGTGAGTAAGTCTTTGGACCCCCAAAACTGGCACAACCGTTTTCCCTTAGGTTTCCCTTCAAACCGGCCAAAAAGGATACCCTCAAAAGACACCCCTCGAAATGCTGAGTTGCGCCGGATGGGATCCAGAAATAAGGTTAACCTTTTGGGATGACTAGACATCGACCAAACATAGGAAAACCAACAGGTCAAAATGTCTGTTTTGGACAACTGAGAATGGCGAATTATGTGCGTGTGCGTGTGCGTGTGCGTGTGCGTGTGTGTGTGTGTGTGTGTGCGCGCCTTCGATAGTACCCTCCTGTCCACGTTCGAAAAAAAAGGCACCAGTTCTCTTTTACCTAAGCGAGCGAAAGCGTCGTTAGATCCTTTGTAGTTTGGTTTTGGAAAAGACACATTGCTTGCAAAAGGTCCTTTTGAGGCGATTGGCGACAGGATATCAAAGAAACTTGGAACAGTAGTCTAGACAAGACTGGGTCGTTGGCATGGTCACCTCGTTTGCCTTCATGCAGATATCTGTGGCACTCTGGTTCCATGCCCCAATACATCCATGTAGGGGTTACATATTCTGGGGCATGCGCCCCAACGGCCCGCGACCAAGCCCTATGTGGGTGTCACCTAGGGTACGGACCTTTGCGCTTTTGGATGAAGGCAAGACCAAAAGAAAGCCCACAAAGGGATTCCTTACACACGCGCTGTCTCTGTCTCATTCTTTACAAGTTTGCGGGTGCTCAAAGACCGACAGGTGAATATGACCATGCATCCACATCAAAACTATGCTGGCCTGTTCAAAGTGGGGTGCCAGTAGACACAAGGACTCAGGATTGATGTTGGAAGATGAGTGTTTTCTTTAAACTGGGCTGTCCTCAGATGCCCTGCGAAAGTTTAAGTCTTAGTGGGGTAAATGGAAATCCCTACTAAACACTAAAAGGCCAAAAAGCTAAGGAACCGCATGGCTGGGAGCCACCAAGTAAAGAGACCCCTGTGCAGGCTCTATATTTCTGTTTCGTGAGGACATCTTGAGGCGCAAACTGGTATAACTGGGCTTAGGCCCTTAGCCATTGCAACCGCCTACTGTGGATGGATACCACTTGGAAACCAGGGTTGAAGCCATTGTTTGTTGGTATCTCAAGGGGAATGAAATCCTTCCAGGGTTTCTGAACGGTGGTGCCTAAGAGGATTTCGCAACGATCCACAGTAGGTTGCAATGGCTATAAAGGGGTTAAGCCCAGCGATACCAGGTTGTACCTCAAGATACACTCAAGAAAACAAATATAGACCCTACTTACCATCTCTACTCTTGGTATGGTAGCAAACAACTTCTTTTCTTTTGCAGCCCCCCAGTAAAAATGAACACACAAAACTAAAAAGAAGAAACACATGCCAAGAACAGCGAAGCTACCTAATGGTTGAACATCCAAGGCCCAATCATTGCACCCGTGCCGAGCTGCATAAAGCGGCTGGTGTGCTGGCAGGCGACATAGAGCTCCTCGTGGACGGGCCAATAAGCCACGATTTTGTCCTTTTGCTCAAGCCCCCTGGAAAAACCTTAGTACTGCTATTTTGTGATACAGTAGATTCCATCTAAAAGCAACATCGGGAAAATGTAAAAGGTGTTCTCTCAAGCAAACGGAAAAAATGTATTTGGTGCTATGCAAAACTAGTACAGCTGTTTTTCCTACACTCTTGCAATCAAATCGGAAAATGCTCGTGAACATGCACATAGCGCATATTATGTATGCTCTACATACGCCCTTCGCTGCGCCTCCCTCAGGAAAATACGCACTGTGTGCTGTCTTTGGACCTTCCAAGGGTAGGACGGCAAATAAGCATGGACTGGCCACAGCAGATCAGAGAAGGGGATGACACACCACGGCTGCTTCTCGAAATAAGAGCCCGGGAAACCAAAAGCAAGCCAACCACCGAAGAAACACCCGAATCCTTCCAGTTGCACTGCGTCATTCCAGTCCCATTTTTTTTTTTAAAGGGTCTGGGATGACTCGGGTGTTTCTCAAAATCAGGGACGCCTTTTTCGGTGGTTGGCTTGCTTTTGGCTTCCCGGGGTCTTATTTCGAGAAGCAGCCGTGGTGTGTCATCCCCCCTTCTCTGATCTGCTGGCGCCTTTGTTGAATGAGAGGCCATTCCTGACTTCCATTTGCGAAGCATTGCAGGTCTCATAGAACATGTCTGCAGGAAATGGACACAAGAGCTTCACGTACAATTGCATGTGGCTGGTTTCTTGGAAATTCTGACCACGCTACTGATTACCTCAGGTACTCTCTCCGATCACATAAATTATCCCCCCAAAAATGCAGTGGGAAGCAAACCAGTCGTTGCGCCGTAAACAAAGCTGCAGCCTTCCTCTGCGCTCAGATCTGCTGGACCTATGGCACGGGAAGATGTGACGATGGCCTGGCTGGTCGCCGATTTTGGCTCTTTGCACAGCGGGATCGTCTCATTCACAGCCGCCATGTCTAGGTTTTTGAGTAGAGAGGTTAGAACAAGTTGGTACACCCTTTTTTTCCGAAAGCAAAACCCTCCCAGCCAAAAAAAGAAATGGTGAGAAAGGGCACCTAGCTGGGGGACCTAGATGTGCTCCGCAAACGATCCGACGGCAAAAGGCCGCGCTTGTCGGTCGCTCCGCAAGACAGCATCTCCAGGGTGAGCGGGCGGGGGGGGGGAGGGAGGGGAGGAGGAGGGAGCCCAATTAAGCCCTTATACAGCAGGCTCTATTTGAGGCTTGTTGGGCTCCCTCCCCCTCCCCTCTCTCCCCCCCCAATGAGATGTGGACCCCTTTTTGGGACCCGGTGCCGCCGATACGTGCCGCCTTTTTTAGGGGGAGACCAAAGAGGGCCCCTTGGTATGCGCTAGCAAACAACTTTGCTTTTTGCAGCCCAGTACTACATTTGTATCTCTCCTCTTGGTATGGACTTACGAAACAGACTGACTGTTTTTTGTAGCCCCCCAGCAAAATTTTATTTAAAAAAAGAACAGTGAAGCACAAAACGTCCGTACGTGGGTGTTCGATTCGCCAAGTTAGCAAGTGGTTAGCCGCCTGGGCTATAACCCACAACTGACTGGGTTAACCCCACAATAAGTGGGTTATAGCCCAGGTGGCGTTGTCCACTTACTAACCTGGCGAATCGAACACCTTCCATTTGCTTAAGTCCCCTGGGAAAAAAAGTAAAAAGTAGTTCCACTATCCCTTTAAAACCAACAGGTGAACAAAAACATATTCTTAAGCAAATGAAAGACACCCAAGTAGGCAATGCGTGCCACTCCGCAGCCCGAAGCGGCGCTCCTCTGCCCGGCGCTGGGCGCGGATCTTTTGCACCTCGACCGGTGCGACGGCTCCACCCCGGCGGTCTCAATTTGCGGCTCGCAAGAAGGGACACAAAAAACTTGGCTGGCGTTCGAGGCTTCTTCTCATGTTGATCCCTTCGTTTTTTCCTCCATATTTGTTTTCCTGTTGCTTCTCGTGCCCTGTGGCCCAACTATGGCTTGAGTTTGGCTAACTCGTCCTCATCGTGTCGGTCCCTCAGTTGCCCCTTGAGACCAAAAACTAAAAGGTTCACAATTTGAGGCCACTAAAAAAGGACCAAACATGAAAAACTCCCAAGGTCAAAAGGTCGGTCTTGCTGGGCGGTGCAAAATGGAGGGCTGGCCAAACCGATTTTCCATAAGCCCGAAAGCGCCGAAAGGGAAGACACCACAAAAGGGACCCCTTGCGTAACCGAAGGTAAGAATTGAGTAGTACCTTTCAACAGCCCAGTCTTGGGCAAGTGAGCCATCTTATCTTAGCATGTAAATGCCGCTGGTCCAAGATCACCAGTACACAAACCCCATGCAAGCTCACTTGCGATCGAGTGGATTGACCAAAAAGTAACCAGACATGTCGTTTGCCACTCAATGATCCAAGCCCGAACAGTGAGTAAAGTCTGAAACGGAGCTCAGGAAGCGAGCTGATCTAGGTCCTCCAGTAGAGGGGTTAGAATAAGGGTACCCTTTTTTCCTGTTGTCTATTTTAGTAGGGGAACCCTCCCCCCAAAAAGGGTAAAAGGGCACTACAAAAGAAACCTAGTGATATTACTTAAGTCACCCATTTACTTCCCTCTAATTTGTGGCTTGGAGGAAGTGGTTTCCCGTGAATCAACTAGCTTCAAATCTAAATCCGAACCACCAATCCACACCACAACTTATGGCCTCCCTGAGCCAAGGTTTCAGCTCCCGGAAAGTAAAAATTGAACCCTGGGCTCAAACTTTGAGCCTGCGTTCTTTTGGTTTACTTTTCAACGACCCATGCCCATTTTGCGAAACCGCCAGGTTCAGTTCCCGGAAAAAAAAAAGCAAAGAACAACCCAAACCTCCGGCTGGAAGGAAAAGAAAACCAACCGCCCAAGCGCAAAATGCGGTCGCGGGGCCCAGGTCTGGAAGCAGCGGGTCTGCATCTGCAGAGCGTTGGAGAAGTCGAAGACGAGGTCGAGGGACTCCCGCAGCACGCCTCTCGCCGACGAATTCACGGCCCGCCCGGTCGTGGCTGGCGAGGTGTGTGATTTTTTTGTCGGTGTGGCGGGCTTTTCAGGGTGCCCCCTGTGTTTGGTGGGTTTAAAGGGAAACCCAAAGGAACACCATCCATTTGGGGGGGGGTTGGTGGTTTGGATTGGAGGTTTTTTTTGGGCCCTTGGTTCTTGTGGAGGGTAAACGGGACGCCCCTCATTAACCACCAAACCACCAATCCAACACCATGAATTGGAGGGAAGCTGAATAAAGGGTGGAAGCTTTTTCCAAGGATTGTGATTTCTCTATCCCTAAAACCAACATACAAATCGAAGTCTAAACCACACCTTCCTCTTTGCCTGTTTGGTCACTTGATCCACGATCACACCCGGATAGTTTGGGGGCAGCAAAGGACAATCCCAACCATAATTAATTGGATATCTCGTTGGGACGGACTTCAAATGTGCAGGAATCGGTTATCTATTTTACCACAAAAGAACGGATCGCAAAAAGGGAGCACCATTGAGGTTGCCAAGCACCTACCAGAGATTTTTCTCTGCGGATATCCGACCTCTTGATTACGTCAGTGTGGGTAGACCATGGCAGACCACTTCCCACCAGGTGTGGGGATGGATGCGCGGTTCTCCAAAACTTATCTAGGTCCCAGTGGTGCCCTTTTTGACCCCCTTTTTTGGGGGGAGGGTTCCCCTGCTAAAATAGACCACAGAAAAAAGGGTACCCTTATTCTAACCTCTCTACTGGAGGACCTAGTTATTGACAAAGAAAGGCATGCCTCGGACGTTTTGTTCGTGGCTTCCCCCTTAAGCAGCCGGCACCGAACCTCTTTTATCCGGCTCCCTTTCCAGCACCATTTCTGAGTAGTGTCGAGGCTGTCTAACTCAAGTGACTTAGCCAAACCATTCAACCACCTTAAAACCGACCAAACCCGCTAACAGGTATCCTGAAGAAAGCAAAGACTACGACAGCACCGCTGTTTGGTTACTTGAACTCTCCAACTCCCTTTAAAGCATCGCTTTGAACGTGGTTGTGCGGGTGCCTTGCTGAGATGAGTGTGGCAAAAAGTTTTAGCCCCAGGCTTACGCAAGTGCCAGTCTTTGTTTCCATTTGCCAAGGGTCCATATTTTGGGATTCCATGTTTTACTGCCTTTTTTTAGGGATTTCCGAGAAAACTGATTAAAACATGGCATTACCCTGGACTTTCTTAGGCAGACCGGCTTCGGTGGATCTCCATTGGGAATGGGACTCGTCACTCCTGTTTGGGGAGTTGTTCTCAAAGGGAACCCCCTCCAAATACAGGACCAACTCACTTCCGAACGAATGGATTGGCCCAGAAACAGTCTGAAGTGCTTTTCAAACCCCAAAAGTGACTACAGTCCGGGCACAGGTCTGGGTAGGCCCAATCCGCGTCAACTGCGAGCCGAATGTTCCGGGAAAACCCCGCCTAGCTTCTTCTCCAGCTGCCGCAGCGGACGCTCACTCTCTATGGGCCACAGGCTCCTGGGTGAGCGGTTCCGAACCCAAGCGCGCTCGCTTGGCAAAATGAGTGCCAGGTTCATTAGGTCCTCTAGTAGAGAGGTTGGAAAAAGGGTACCGTCTTTTTCTGTAGTCTATCTTAGTAGGGGAACCCTCCCCCAAAAAAGTTGGTAAAAGGGCAGTACTGGGGACCTAATTCAAGAGAACTCCTTCTTGAAAAGATCGTTTGTTTTATGGGAGCCCCTAAAAATCGTGTGGTGCTCCAGATTGATCCGAGGTCAAGATTATTTGAATGGGCGGCGAAGTCACCAGAAATGTGAGAATCCTTCAAAGTCACCAGACATGTGAGAATCCTTCAAAGTCACCAGAAATGTGAGAATCCAAAAATATGAAAATCCTTCAAGCTGTTCACTAGGCACCCAGAACATAGATCCTGGACCTGTGTCACGAACATGGTTGTGGGTAAATATTTCTATCCCATCATGGTTTCCCTTTGGTTGGAATTCTGGCTGCCGAGAAAAGCCCGCAGATTGCGTAATGGACATCGGCGGATTGTGTGCAGCAAGAATAACAACAAATACGTCTGCGCCAGCAAAATGGGATGCGCATCCTTCGTTTGGCCTCACTGGACATGTCCATTAGAATTGGGACTCCGAAACGGCCCATGCAGGAGACATGATTTGCTTGGGGTTGTCTCAAGATGGATCTCGAGAAGCGCAAAATGAGCGCTTCCCCTTTTAAAACAGTCCCCTAAAAGATACCTACCCCGAACGTTAACGATTGCCGCGTTGACTGCGCGCCAATGAGACCGCAAAAGACGACGGCTGAATGAAAAGGCGGGTCCCCTGTAACACAAGCAATGCGCTGAAAAGGCTTGCCAACGTTTCACTGTTGCAACCGAACAAAGGTGCTGCGCCCACGCTGATGCGCGACCACACCGACTCAGCAACGCCCAAACAAACTGAATAGGGCCGCACAAAAAAAAAGAAGCACGCGTGCAAATGAAACATCTGAAGAAAAAAAACCTCCCCCCAAAAAAGAAAGGGTAAAAGGGCACCTAGCTGGGGGACCTAGACATATATCCGAGCCAGCCCAGCGAAAGAGCGGAAAAAGTGGTCACCAAGGGACCTAAGATCCTGAGACGGTCCAACAATTTCCTGCAAAGCAAGAAGTACAAGTGGTGTTCGATTCGCCCAGTTAGTAAGTGGTTAACCTGGGTTATAACCCACAAATGACTGGGTTAACCCCACTATAAGTGGGTTGTAACCCAGGTGGCGTTGTCCACTTACTAACTTGGCGAATCGAACTCCCAAGTAGGCCTCCAGGAACTGTAGAAGCGTCGCCGCAAGGCTCGCATTGTTCCAACTGCCCCGCTTGTCCTCCGTAGCCGCAGGCCCCTTGCTGCATGCTCTGTCCAGCTTGGGAAGGTAGCGGGTCTCGTGATTGGTTTTGCAGAAGTCCAAGTAGGCATCACTCAGTTGGTTGAACTGGACATCTATAGAGGAACCATTCTCCACTAACTGCTGGATCAACATCATTCCCGAAGCCATCCACACCTTGCCAACCCCAAGGTTGACTGTGTGCCAAGTGTCCGGCTGGTGGAATCTGGCTTTTCATGCGTCACGCAGGCGAGCTGTCCATCATCAGGCACTTCGTGAACGCACTCCGTGCCCACGCGTCCGCTGGCGTTCCGTGCTTGTTCTGCTGCCGCCCTTAGGAAACAACTGCAGCAAGCTGAAGTCCCTGATGGATTCAAGCCTTTCCAAACTTCACGCAGGAGGAAAGGAACGGCCAATTTGCCAACAAAGCATTGTAGCGCCATGACCGGCGCAAACCGCAAACCCCTTGCAGGCACCCCATTTCCAACTCCTCACTTCTCTAACCCCTAAATCTAAACTCTAAGCATCTTGCAGTACACAGACCACAAGTCTTCTCAGTCAAACCCGGCCATTCCAGGTGGAGCGGTGGGCTTGCCGCATTGCTCGAAAACTCCGCTCGAGCTTCGCCGAAACTACGTTCAGCAGTGGCCCAACAACTCAACAACCTCAAATTCGGAAACCACGTTGGACTCCTTGTGGTTTCCCTGGATCAAAACGCATCCCAAGAAGAAGCTCGCAATTCTGGTGGAACCCCAAACTCCCCTTGTGTCAACGTGCAACAAAACCAGCACCTTCCCAAACATGGTCAATTTTCTCCGATTCCCCCGATTCCACGTGGAGTACACCACGGAAAGCGAGCACGCGTGAATTCCCACAGGACCGAACGCCGTTCAAGGACAACCCAATCAGGTAGACTTTGGAAGTGGCCCGCTACGCCAACTCGCCAACGAATTTGTAGTTTCTTTTTTTGAGGGTATCCTTTTTGGGATTGCTCCAAAGGAAACAAGCAGGACCCACCCCCCCCCCCCGATGTTATTTACTTTCTTTGGGGGGCGGGGGTGGTCCCCTAAGCAAACACACAGCCAGCCAATTGCGTCCCGTGTAAGCTCATAAGCAAGAACCCAAAGCCCCAAGACCGCGAGGTCTGACAAAAGGTTCATCTTGGAGCCATCTTAGGCGCAGTTCCTGAGTGTGGATTGGCCAAGTCCCGGAACCTGTGATTTACCGCTAAAATGGTCGTTGTTCTCAAAAGGAAACCCGAACCCCCCCTCCAGAAAAGAAAACCTCGCTTCCTGAGTGGATGCTTCCCCAACAAAGGTGGTATAAAGTCCAGGACCCCAAGAGAGAAAGTCGGGGTGCTAATCCCACCGGTTGCCTCCGGTCCCTCCCCGCACCGACCATTTCCCTCCCTCCCTAATGGCCCGCTCCTCAGCAATCGTCCGGAGACCTGAAGGCACGCAACATGTACCTGGACCCTCACAATTTTCATCTTAAGAATGGGCTGTAGCAACCCAAAATTGCGGCTGGCGAAGCCCCTTTTATCATCTCTACTCGTGGTATGGTAGCCAAACAAATGGCCGTTTTTTTGCGGCCCCCCCAGTAACAATGAGCAGAACCAAACTGCTAAAAAAAAACATGCCAAGAACAGTGAAGTGACCCTTCTAAATGGAAAAGCAAGGACTACAAACTACAACTACAAAGTACAAACTACAAAACAAGAAAAAAAAGAAGAAAAACAACATGCCAAGACAACTCTTCTAAATGGATTTGCCCCATACCCAAATGAATCGAAGAAAAACAAACGCAGCCCGCAAGCCTGGGCTGGGAATTTTGCCCAACCAAACCAACTTGCATCAAGAAACCTAAGGAACCGGGGGGGGGGGGGGCTGGGAATCGCCAAAAAAACAACCTTGTCATAGGTGTCCTTTTAGGGGAAATAGATGGATTTCCCTGGTAGACGATTAAACCACCAGGTAAACCAGGAATCGCCATCTATTGTTCGACCAAAACAACCAAAAAGGACACCTATGAACCTTGTTCTTTGCAGCCCCCCCCCAAAAAATCACGAACCGTCTAAGCAACACACAAGTCAAGAACAGTAAAGTCACAGGCTGGGCCTCCCTGAAACGCAAGGAACAGGAGATTAGGGTACAGGGAGTTCTCCTACTCCCCCCTTTTTCGCGCCCAAACGTATTTTGAAAACCGCAATGTCAGAGGAAGGAAGAAATATGGTTTGCTCCTGTCCGGTTTGCGCGAAACGGCTTCGACCTGGCTAAAAAAAATGCTTGTCGGTTCCGCGAAGCGCGACTTGAGTTGGGGTCGGAGGGACATATGCTGGTTTCGGTTTGGTTTCGTACCGGCTAATTCTATTTTAGCATTAAAATATGTGGGTTGTAGCAACAAAACATGTCTGACAGGGTGCGTTTAAGAATGCTGGGGAGTGGATTAAACTTGTTGCTACTAAGTGGGCCAGCACTCATTTTACCGCAAAGGTTTTTTGGTTAGACTGGGTCCACGAAATTGACATTCTCGAACTTGTGAGAACTTCCAGATGTCTGCGTTCAGGATCAAGAGCGGCCACGTCAACCAATGGAGGTTGACAACTCGGGGTAAGCGAACTAGTTCGAACTTGTCTAACCCCTGTTCACTGGAAAAATGCGGCGGCCCTCCCTCCATTCATTCTCCGCTTTGTGGGTGCTAGGGAAGACACACATGGGGAAAGGTCGCTTATCAAGCGTAACCACCCTGCCATTTGGGGTGGAGCGCGACCACTGGCGCCAGTGTCGATCAAAGATACGCCCAATTAAGGAGTAAATTAGTGAAAACCGGACAATACAACATATTGTTAAGCAAAGGGGTTTTCCAAGTGTAACCTCATTAGATCAACCGTCAAGCATTTGCTTTCGCCCTGAACGGCCGGCGGAACATTTTGTGTGTTTCTTGGTGAGAATGTAGTGAGCCTCCCATGTCCAGAAGCCCTGAAAACCACAAGAGAAGCTAAAAGCTGTAAGGAACAATTGAGCAGGACACGTGCACGCGCGGTCGCCGTTTTTGGCCTGATCCCCAACTAAACCAGCTGCGCCCGAGGCCCCGTGCGAACTTGAGTGAGTGAGTGCCCAAAAGTCGTTGACGGTTGGTTCCACTAACACGGTTGTATAAGCCTTACTATAATCACCACAGGAGCAGGTAGTAGAACCTACTAAAATGGCCCTGTTGGAGTTTTGGGCGCTGCTCGGTTGTGTTGGGCGACTGAGAAACAGAAGAAGCCCGCCCTCTGTCTTCGTGAAGGCCGGAAAAGAGTGCGTAAATGGGCAGACCGCAGACCACTAGTCCGCTAGTCAATCTTTTGGCGTGGCCCCAGTTGCCACAAGCATCAATATCTAAAAATGGGTCCAACAAGAATACAGTGAACATAGCCAGAGATCTAACGACTATACGATCAACAACATATTTCAAAATAATCACAATACATTGCCTTTCCAACCCTTGGTATGGTATCAAGCAATTTTGTTTTTGCAGCCCCCCCCCCCCCCACTAAAAATGGAAAGAACCAAACAAAACCTAGCAAAATGGGTACTGGGCTGCCCTCAGATCCCCCCGCAAAAAGTTCAACTTTTAGTGGGTTAAATGTAAACTACCACTAAACACTAAAAGCCTAAAACGCTAAGGAACCGGATGGCTGGGAGCCACCAAGGGTATTGACCCCGTTGCGGAGATTTCCTCCGCAGAACCGGGCCCTTGACACTCACAGACCGTCGGCCCCTCTCAGCTCGAAGCGTCTCCAGTAGCCGCCGCCCGCCAGAGGCCGAAGACCTCGCCGGAGCGCGCGGATCGGATGCAGCGGATCGGATTTTTGTTGCCCAAAGGACCCAAGAAGAAGTAAGAAAGGTTAACCATTTAGAGCCATCGCTCAAAATGGGCCCAAGTTGGAAAACCAAAAGTTACTAGGTCCTCCAGTAGTTTGAGGTTAGGATTGTCTATTTTAGTAGGGGAACCCTCCCCCAAAAAAGGGTAAGAGGGCAATACTGGGGGATGCTGGGGGACCTAGCCTTTAGAATGAACCGCTTCTGTTTGCTGAAGCTCGGTGATGTCCCCTGGTTTTGAAGGGTATCACTGGAAACCTGGCTGTGGCTCAAAAACAAACTGGCATCCCGGGGCTGGTTTTGGCAGGGAGCTTGCGTTTTTACTATGGCTCTAAAGCCATCAGCAAGCAATCCGCGCAATGTAAACCATGAGCCAACAGCGACGCAAAAAAAAGGAGGTTCTCGCGCCTATCAACTTGACTGTCGACCAAAAGGGAGAAACCTGCTTCGAAATCAGGCTGCCGATCGAGTCAAAAGCAAGACGGGCAGGAAGCAATGACTGTCTCAACGTTGGGTTCCCCCCCTGCAATTATCTTCCCTAACAAAAAACACAAAGTCCAGCAGCAGGACAAGTGATGCAGCAGTGGCAATCTCTCCAACCGGCTTCTTACACTCTTCCATACATGCATGGAAGTGGACAGGGCTTGGAAGACCATCCTCTTCAACGGGAGTTGTAAAGGTCCTTTCTGATGCGGGTAGTAGTTGATTTCAAAGGAAAGCCACGCCAAAACGTTGGGCTCAGATGCACAGTGGATTTCCATGGGGGCATCCTTTTTGCTTGGTTCAGTTTAAAGGGGATGTCTTTTTGAAAAGGGTGGAATTCACCAGGCACCTGGATGGGGGAATGTTGACCCCGGATTCATAAACCCGTCGTATAAGTGGGGGGGGAACTTCCTGCAAACGTGATACACCCACTAAATTAGAGGGACACCCCCTATTCATCAATGAGGGGTTGATTAATCAGGGGATACCATTACACAGAGAAACTCATATGGTCTGAGTCTGTGTCATAATTCGTCTACCGCAAAATCAAAGGTAGTTTGGGCTAACATTACTTGGTTGAGTTTGGATTTCAAAATCCAAAACCACAATAAGCAAAAATGTCACATGTTTCCCAACAAGAACCATGACTAAAAGGCAAACCACCCCCCTTGGCTTTTTTTTGCCTTCCTACGCCCGCTCCGACAGCCCCGCCCGCCTGGCCCAGCAGTCTGCCCTCCCGGAGAGCACTGATGCGCCATCTTGCAGGCACGTGCCTTGCAAAAAACGCAAAACAAGCGGCAGGGGCGTCTTGTTTACTTGGCTGGAAGTAGGACCCCAGCAAAAAAACATGTGATGTTCTGCCTGGTAGTGGAAAACAAACGGAACCCCAAAAAAGCACAAAAAGCAAAAGGGGAACTAATTCCGGTTGTTTGAGACCCCCATCAAAATGTTTACCTTAATTTATGCGCCCCAGCTCTTCCATTTTCTTTTGCACGATTGTTTGACCTCTTGATAACACAGGGGTCACTGGATATTCTCCGAATCAGAGGTTGCGCTCTACCGCTGGTTCCGTGGAGGCGATCGCCACTCTTGGAGGTTCCACCAAGGGAAATAGGATGGAAACCCTGACAAAACCATGGCACCCAGGTAAAATAGATGCGTTTCCCTGGCAAACCAGAGGGGGGGGGGGGTTCCTCAGGGCCGGTTCAACCCAACACAGGGATCAATAATTTGCATTGAACAACACGGCTGGGAACAAATGCCTCAAATAGAAAAGGCTGTCTAAACATGATTTCCCAACAGAAAGACATGTTGTTGTGAAACCGACTTAAACCTGATGGTCGCAGTAGTACCTGTCTTTGGTTGGTTGGTCGGTCGGTTTGCACACTGACCTTTCAGGTTTTGATTGCTTGATTGTGGCTCAACTCTGGTTCCTTAGAGTTTGTTCTTGCGCTGGATCACTGGTGGATTTGTTTGGCATCGCAGAAGCTTGGTTCTCCAGTAGAGAGGTTAGAATAAGGGCACCCTTTTTTCTGTAGTCTATTTTAGTAGGGGAGCCCTCCCCCAAAAAGGGTAAACAAACACTACTGGGGGACCTAGTCGCGAAGAGCCCAACGCTTGTCCTTGGCGCAACGGCGCCCAACAGGGTTTCGGAGAAGCATCCGCTCAGGCTCAGTATCGGCCCGCAAGCTCTCAGCGCCCACGATGCCGCCGAAGATTTTGCCCGAGCTGTTCTTTTTAGTCCGAGGCAATTCATGAGAACTGCGTGTTCCGCACGCTCGGGCTTGCTGAGGTATCCCTGGCATACTTCCCAACGTTCGTATTTGTCTGTTGTTTTTTGGTTGGTTTAAAGGGAAACCAAAAGGCACAACCATTTTGGGAGCCCCATTGTTTTAAAGGTTGTTTGAACCCCAGGGATACTGTGGATGGACGAAATGGTTGAAACCATAACGTTTGTTGGTATTTACGTTGGGGATCATATTATTCTAGGGTCTCTGAACGGTGCAGGAATTTTCGTCCACCCACGGCCACTGAGCTGCATCCTATGCCACTTCCTCCAGTCGAAAGGGAGTTGGGGATTTGTCACGTTTGCCCACACCGGCAAAGGGAGCTACAATCACGGTGACGGATAGAGTTGGGAATGGTCACACTTGCCAAGATGCCAATAAGCTGAAGCCCAAAAAAGGCTCATCCTGCGATGCGAGTGACTGAGTTGGGAATGGTGACGCCTGCCAAGCTGCAACCTCCAAAGGCAGAATCCCCAATTACAGTAACCGAGTTCGGAATGGTCACGTTTGCCAATGAGCTGCAACCTCGGAAGGCATTTCCTGCAATCTCAGTCACAGAGTCGGGGATGGTCACATTTACCAATGAGCGGCAACCCTGAAAGGCACTTCTGCTGATTTGAGTCACAGAGCTGGGAATGGTCACAGTTGCCAATGAGCTGCAACCTTCAAAGGCATACGCCCCAATCACAGTGACTGAGTTGGGAATGGTCACAGTTGTCAATGAGCTGCAACCTTGGAAGGCATGTGCTCCAATCCAAGTCACTGAGTTGGGAATGGTCACGTTTGCCAATGAGCTGCAACCTTTAAAGGCAGAACCTGCCATCTGCGTCACTGAGTTGGGAATGGTCACGCTTGCCAATGAGCTGCACGCAAAGAAGGTACAATACCGAATCACAGTGACAGAGTTGGGAAGGGTCACAGTTGCCAAGGAGGTGCAACCTCGGAAGGCATTTGCTCCAATCTCAGTCACTGAGTTGGGAATGGTCACGTTTGCCAATGAGCTGCAACCTTTAAAGGCAGAATGCTCAATCACAGTGACGGAGTTGGGAATGGTCACAGTTGCCAATGAGATGCAACCTTCAAAGGCACATTCCCTAATCACGGTGACTGAGTTGGGAATGGTCACGTTTGCCAATGAGATGCACCCGAAGAAGGCCCTTTCTCCGATCCGAGTGACAGAGTCGGGGATGATCACATTTGCCAATGAGCTGCAACCTGCAAAGGCAGAATCCCCAATCACAGTGACAGAGTCGGGAATGGTCACAGTTGCCAATGAGCTGCAACTCTGGAAGGCATTTTCTCTAATCACAGTGACGGAGTTGGGGATGGTCACGTCTGCCAATGAGCTGCAGTCTAAGAAGGCCCTTTCTCCGATCTCAGCCATGCTTTCTGGAATTTCCACCACTCGCAGATCCTCAGGCTTGACCCCGGAGGTTTCGAGGCTTGAGCACGTCACCGGCTTTATGCTCAGGAAAGCCAACACTTCTGCACCTGGAATTGCATTGGACACCAACTCCTTGTTGTTCAACAGGGGCCTGTCTCCAAGAACCAGCTCCACCGAGCTCATGTTTCGCATTGATTCGTCTGCACAGCGCAGCCACCCGCGCCGCTGCCGCTTGAACTCACCGACAGTCATGTCCGGAAACACTTGGAATGACTCTTCCTCCCCAGACAGCTGTCGCACCGTAATCTCTTTTGCCATGGCAGAACTTTACTCTTGTCTAGCAAACGCTGCTTGAAACGATCTTATGGTAAACTTGCTCTGAGCCTGCTGGGTTCCGGCTTGTTGGCCAGGCACGGTTCAGCTACGATGTTCCGGAGGGTGCTAAGGCTAGCTGGGTGCGCCTCTGACTTGAGCGCAGCTTTGAGCCATGCATTGCAGCAGCTAGCCCAAGTGCAGTCCCAAGAAGATAGCAGTGGCAATTGGGAAGTATAGGGAGCTGCCCTCTGTTTGGCTCGTTGTCTCCAAACTCGCCTTTTTCTATTTGACACATCAACGCCTCTGCATTTTCTTGCTTGACGTGTCCTTGCTTTCTGGGCAGCTTGAAGCGGCCTTGGATACCTGCCCAATGATTCAACTGGAATGGGGGGTCACATGCCCAGCTCCAAAAAAGAACAAGAGCAACATGAGAGCCAAGTGTTTGGAGAACCCTACCACCAACAAGCGTGGAAGTGCACAAAGTCATCTTTCAAGAGCACGTACCGCTGCACCCAACGCTATAGCAAATGGGTATGGTTGCTTCTTGCCTCGTCGCGAGCACATTCACCAAGGCCTTGCCTGTTGCCCACCCAACAACCGGCCAAGCCCACTGGTGAAATCTGTGCGAAAAGGATCATGTCCAAGTCAGGGGAAACCTGGGCGGGGATAGGGGTAATGCCCACCCGGATAAGTAAATATAGGCACGATAAAACGTCGCTGCCTGGGTCCGATCGAAGAAAATGCCGGGAAAAGCCCGGTCGTGCCTGAAAACGCTCGAGTTGCCCATCAAAACGGTGTGTCCAAATTGACGAACTTTTCAGGGAGTTCCCCAAATGCCATCGATCGGACCCGGGCGAGGCTTCTCCCAAAGAAACTCACTGAAGTCGCCAAAAAAGGTCCCCAAACGGATAAACTTTACCAGCAAACGGTCCAGCAACTCGAGTCCAGGAACTCGAGCCTGAAAAGGTCCAACTGATTCTTTACTAGCCAGTGTGGGGAATGACCACTTCTATGATACAAGGGCTTCCCAAAGACTACTTTGTTCATAAGAGGGATTCCCTTGTGAAGAAGTGGTTGGAGAAGAGTGATCCCACGACCCTTTAGCCCTGAAAGTCTTCAAAGTCCGGGAACTCGAGTGAAAGTCGATTTCGTCGCAGATCCGTCTGGACCTCTTTGGACCCGTGAAAGGTGGGGCGAACCTACGTCCCTGAAAACCACCGAAACTCCCACGTAGCAATGTCCCTTATGCAGCTCCCCTGAAATCCAGGAGGATGAGTTCTCCGTGCTTGTTCTAGGAGACTCCTCGAAAAGCAGTAGTCGCCGGAAAGCCCGCGTTTCTTCTCTAAGAAGGGGGGCAACAAGACACACCTAGAATGACCAAAAGCCCTTGAAAAGGCAAAGAGTGCTCTACTTCTAAACAAGAAAACACCCATTTGGCAATAACCGATTTAATACGGCTTCCAGACCTTGTTGGTTGCTTTTCCTGCTTTTGACGTTCTCAGGTTGCTTTTCCTCTTTTGGGGGGTAACGGAGTTAGGTCTGGGATTTAGGTTTAGGGTTTAGTGTTTTGAGGTCTAGGATTTAGGTTGAAGACTTAGGTTTAGGAATTTGGTTTAGGATTTAGGCTCAGGGTTTTTAGGTTTAAGGTTTTAGGTTTAGGATTTTTAGGTTTACGGTTTATAGGTTTACGGTTTTTTAGGTTTAGGATTGTTAGGTTTAGGGTTTAGGGTTTAGGGTTCAGGGTTTAGGGTTTAGGAATTAGGTTTAGGGTTTGGGTCTAGGGTTTTGAGGTTTTATGGTTTTTAGGTTTAGGATTTAGGTTTAGGTTTAGGATTTAGGCTTAGGGTTTTTAGGTTTAGGATTTAGGTTTAGGATTTAGGTTTAGGGTTTTGAGGTCTAGGATTTGGGCTTAGGGTTTTTAGGTTTAGGATTTAGGTTTAGGGTTGGCGCCTTTTAGTGTTCCTGCTGGCGGGATTCCTTTTAGGGTTCCTGCTGGGGGGATGTCTCTCCGGGTTCCTGCTGGCGGGGCGCCGTTTAGGGTTCCTGCTGGCGGGTCTTTTAGGGTTCCTGCTGGCGGGGTGCCTTTGAGAGGCCACGGATTTAGGTCTAGGATTAGGTTCAGGATTTAGGTTCGGTTTAGGTTTAGGATTTAGGCTTAGGGTTTTTAGATATAGGAGTTTAGGTTTAGGGTTTAGGTTTCGGATTTCGGCTTAGGATTTTAGGTTTAGGATTTAGGTTTATAGTTTTTAGGTTTAGGATTCAGGACGCATTTTGGCTCAAATGTAGAGAAGTTCCCATTTGGAGCTCCAAAAGCGACATTTTGGAGCCGGCCATGGAAATGGCAAGTCTCTTGGCTCAAATGCAAAGAATTTGTGAAATGACCGTTCTTTACTAGAGTTTATATAAAAAATACACATTTTTGCTGAAACGGAGAGAGTTCGCCATTTGGAGCTCCAAAAGGAACATTTTGGGCCTGGCCTGGAAATTGACGGGCACTAAACGAGCACTAGACGAGCACTAGACAAGCACTAGTGCTTGTCTAGTGCTCGTCTGGTGCTCGTCTAGCGCTCGTCTAGCGCTCGTCTAGTGCTCCATCTAGTGCTCGTCCAGTGCTCCGTCCAGCGCCCGTCTCTCTTCTATCCCCGGAAATTTTCCGGAAATTTCCAGCGTTGTGCCGTCCCTAGAGCCTCTTGTCTAGCGCTTGTCTAGTGCTCGTCTGGTGCTCGTCTCGCGCTCGTCTAGCGCTCGTCTAGTGCTCCATCTAGTGCTCGTCTAGTGCTCCGTCTCCGTCCAGCGCTTGTCTAGTGCTCTTCTATCCCCGGAAATTTTCCGGGAATTTTCCGGGTTGTGCCCTCCCTAGAGCCTTCTGGCGCTCGTCCAGCGCTCGTCCAGTGCCCGTCTAGTGCTCATCTAGTGCTCCTCTAGCGCTCGTCTAGCGCCCGTCCAATGCTCGTCTGTGCCCGTCTAGTGCCCGTCTAGTCTAGCGCCCGTCTAGTGCTCGTCTAGTGCCCGTCTAGCGCTCTAGTGCCCGTCTAGTGCTCGTCTAGTGCCCGTCTAGTGCTCGTCTAGTGCCCGTCTAGTGCTCGTCTCGTGCCCGTCTAGTGCTCGTCTAGTGCCCGTCTAGTGCTCGTCTAGTGCCCGTCTAGTGCTCGTCTAGTGCCCGTCTAGCGCTCGTCTAGCGCCCGTCTCCCGTCTAGTGCTCGTCTAGTGCCCGTCTGGTGCTCGTCTCGTCTGGTGCCCGTCTAGTGCTCGTCCAGTGCCCGTCCAGTGCTCGTCTAGCGCTCGTCTAGTGCTCGTCTAACGCTCGTCCCCGTCTAGTGCTCGTTACTGCTCGTCTAGTGCCCGTCTAGTGTTCGTCTAGTGCTCGTCTAGTGCTCGCCTAGTGCCCGTCTAGTGCTCGTCTAGTGCCCGTCTAGTGCTCGTCTAGTGCTTGTCTAGTGCCCGTCTAGTGCTCGTCTAGTGCTCGTTTAGCCCGTCTAGTGCTCGTCTAGTGCTCGTCTAGTGCCCGTCTAGCGCTCGTCTAGTGCTCGCCCAGTGCTCTAGTGTCTAGTTCTCGTCTAGCGCTCGTCCAGCGCTCGTCTAGTTCCCGTCTAGTGCTCGTCTAGCGCCCGTCTGGCGCTCGTCTGTGCCCGTCTAGCGCTCGTCTAGTGCCCGTCTAGTGCTCGTCTAGTGCCCGTCTAGCGCTCTAGTGCCCGTCTAGTGCTCGTCTAGTGCTCGTCTAGTGCCTCGTCTAGTGCCCGTCTAGTGCTCGTCTAGTGCTTGTCTAGTGCCCGTCTAGTGCTCGTCTAGCCCGTCTAGTGCTCGTCTAGTGCTCGTCTAGTGCTCGTCTAGCGCCCGTCTAGTGCTCGTCTAGTGCCCGTCTAGCGCTCGTCTAGTGCCCTAGTGCTCGTCTAGTGCCCGTCTAGTGCTCGTCTAGTGCCCGTCTAGTGCTCGTCTAGTGCTCGTGTGGTGCTCGCCTAGCGCTCGTCTAGCGCCCGTCCAATGCTCGTCTGTGCTCGTCTAGTGCCCGTCTACTGCCCGTCTAGTGCTCGTCTAGCGCCCGTCTGCTCGTCTAGTGCCCGTCTGGCGCTGGTCTAGCGCCCGTCTAGTGCTCGTCTAGTGCCCGTCTAGTGCTCGTCTAGTGCGCGTCTAGTGCTCGTCTAGTGCCCGTCTAGTGCTTGTCTAGTGCCCGTCTAGTGCTCGTCTAGTGCCCGTCTAGCGCTCGTCTAGTGCCCGTCTAGTGCGCGTCTAGTGCCCGTCTGGTTTAGGATTTAGTCTAGGATTTAGGCTTAGGGTTTTTAGGTTTAGGATTTAGGTTTAGGGTTGGCGTTTTAGTGTTCCTGCTGGCGGGATTCCTTTTAGGGTTCCTGCTGGGGGGATGTCTTTCCGGGTTCCTGCTGGCGGGGCGCCGTTTAGGGTTCCTGCTGGCGGGTCTTTTAGGGTTCCTGCTGGCGGATTTAGGCTTAGGGTTTTTAGATATAGGAGTTTAGGTTTAGGGTTTAGGTTTCGGATTTAGGCTTAGGATTTTAGGTTTAGGATTTAGGTTTATTTTAGGATTCAGGGCACATTTTGGCTCAAATGGAGCATTTGGAGCTCCAAAAGCGAATTTTTGGCCATGGAAATGGCAAGTCTCTTGGCTCAAATGAGCTGGCCCTGGAAATGACCGTTCTTTACTAGAGTTTATATAACAGATACACATTTTTGCTGAAACGGAGAGAGTTCGCAATTTGGAGCTCCAAAAGGAACATTTTGGGCCTGGCCTGGAAATTGACGGGCACTAAACGAGCACTAGACGAGCACTAGACAAGCACTAGTGCTTGTCTAGTGCTCGAATGGTGCTCGTCTAGCGCTCGTCTAGCGCTTGTCTAGTGCTCCATCTAGCGCTCGTCTAGTGCTCCGTCCAGCGCCCGTCTAGTGCTCTTCTATCCCCGGAAATTTTCCGGAAATTTCCGGGGTTGTGCCCTCCCTAGAGCCTCTTGTCTAGTGCTTGTCTAGTGCTCGTCTGGTGCTCGTCTAGCGCTCGT